CACAGCAGGAATATGCAGAGCTCTGAGTTTACTAACCCTTCACTGGTCAAACATAGGGATACTTCTGAATCAATATTGCAGGAATCTATACAATTCTGTATTATTAACCCTTCACTACTCAAATACATGGACCTTACAATGTGCATACAATGAGATCCTCCGAGAACTGAGCCATTAACCCTTCAATAGGAATAAAGATCATATCCACACTGGGGAAGCACACTGATCTCTCTGCTAATAACCCTCACAATTCAAACACAGGATCTTAATCCAAATCATTTAAACCCACTTATCTCCCACTGAGACATTGTTCTATGCATACAGGAGAACACATAGAGCATTGTCTTATTAACTCTTCATTATGCCAAGTCAAAGATCTTTCTCTGTCCATATACACTAGGCGGAGCCTGGATTAACCATTTAATATAGAAACTCAGGGATGTTGTCCTGTGTATATAGTGGAAACCCACACATATCTGAATGGAATTCAATTCAAGTAACTGTAGCGACTGCTGGGATAATGTTTCCCAAGGACATACTTAATATCATTGCTTTTTGTAATTATCTTTTGTGCACACAGTCATGTAGCCCCATGTAGCCAGGCGCAGCTAAGCGGAAAAAGGCCTTGACAGGGGTTAGGAGGTGGGCCTAGGAGGAAGTAAGCAAGGGAGTGGAGTTATGGGTAAGTAGGTTTGGTTATTTAAATGGGCAGCCATTTTAGGTAAGTCATTCTAACTTCCTACCTGGTTAAGTTTGTGTTCGCTCTTGTGGGCACAGATTTGGCTTGGTAGGGCTTTTCTTCTTTTGTCTCCCTGCAGGGCCGATGGACGAAGTGGAGCGGCTGCTGGAGGGGATCCGGTCGGCGGCGAGGCACCAGGGGGCTGACTGGCTGAAGGCCCAGCTAGGCCCGGCCCTGGCGGCGGCGGCGAACCAGGACGACGGAGGTGGACGGCCGGTTCGGGCCAGGAGGCCCCCGGAGCGGCTAAGCCCGGGTGTGGGACCCGGTGAAGACATCCCTGGTGGTCCGGGAGGCTCCGGTGCGGGCGGCAGCAGGCCCGGCAGCCGCGTGGTAGAGGCCCCGCCTCCCCGCGAGCGGCCGGGGCCTAGGACCAGTGCCCGGCGCCGGGGGGACGGTCAGGACGGGGCCGTCGCGGCTGCCGGGTCGGACGTGGCCGGGCGGTCCCCTGGAGGAGCGGGCAGCATGGAGGTGCGTGGAGGCGGAGGTCGGCGGGGCCGGGACCGGGAGGACGCGTGGCCGGTTCCTGGCCCCAAAGGCTAGTGCAGGGGGCTCTGGCTGGGGCCCCCTTGGCGGGATGAGTGAGGGGCGGAGGGCCCAAGTGGGGGGCGGGAAGGCCTCCCAGGGATCGCGGGTGATGGATGGGGTGGGCACAGGGGTCATAGGTGGGGGGAGTAGTGGTAGGGGAGGGGGGGCTGTGGGTGGTGAGGGACTGCTGGGCTCACCTGGTGGGGGGAGGGGGGCCTCCTTGGGTTCTGGGGCTAGGTCGGTGCTGGTAGGGTCGGGTAGGCCTGGTTTAGGGGTTGGGGGGGCTTCCTCAGCCAATCTAGTTGAGGGGGGTCCGGGTGCCCTTAGTCTGGGAGCCAGTTCCTGTGGGGGGTCGGGCTCTCGCTGGAAGGGGGTGCAGGGTAGTAGGAGGGGGGTCCGGTTCAGGGTCCTGTAGTGGTAGTCCCTCTCCGGTTCGGGACGTAGAGCCCAGGGGGAGGAGGGGGAGGTCCCGGCAGCGCCGCTCCAGGTCAGGGAGCTCAGGAGAGAGCGGGGCTAGCGTTCCCAGGGGTGGTCGGCGGGGACGTTTGCCTGGAGGGGACAGGAGGAGCCGTAGCCCTAGGGGCTCCCGCGCGCAGCGTGCGCGGGGGGCGCAGCGGGAGGCCTTGGCAATGGGCAGGCGCTCCCAGGGTCGGGACGGGGGGGAAGCGAGTACTCAGTGCACCCTACCCAGGACTTCTTCTCCTCTTTCCAGGTCACGGAGCCGTTCCCTATCGACACGGGCAAGGCACCGGTTGGGCTCCCCGGTTGGCGAGGTATCGGCGGGAGTCGCTCTCCCTGGACATCGGGCAGTCGACGACGCAGCCCCTGCCGCTTCAGTGTCAGGGGGCTTGGCCGGTGAGTCTTGTGGGTCACTACACTCCAGCTCCTTAGTTAGCACACTTCAAGCACTGCTCCACTCGCTGGGGGCGGGGGGTGACACGGGGGGCGGCGTTGGTCGGGTCTGGGCTCCGGGGACTGAGGTCTCTGGTCCTAGTGGGGTTTCCGTGGGGCTTAGCTCGGGCGAGGCGATGGCGGCCGGGAGTGACAGGGCGGAACTGGCCGGGGGTATTCCGGACGCGGCGAGGCAGCACGCGTACGTCTCGTTTGCGGGCCCCCTGGGGGTTCATCTGAAACAGGACGTGAAAGAGAAGCTCTGGAAAGGTGAGTTTTGCGAGATCTTCTCCCTGCTCCCCTTGGAGGACTTTATTGACCTCAAGGAGGAGGATAAAAAGGATGAAAAGAAGGAGGAGGAGGAGGAGAAGAGGAAGCGGTATCGCAAGATTCCGAAATCCTTTGGTAACTGGTTAAGGGCGTTTTGCGTGCTGGCCAGCGTGCTCGGGGAAAAATCGCCGGGATTATGCTCGTCCCTGTTCTGTTACTTGGACGGCATTTGGGAAGCATACCGCACCTATGGGGGGCTGGCATGGTGGCGGTACGATGAACAGTTTAGGCAGCGACTGGCGGCTAACCCGTGTATGAGGTGGGATCAGATGGATCTGCCCCTCTGGATGAAGCTAATGATGAAGCTAATAGCCGGTGAGGCTAGACGCGATGGAGCCGTGGCTAAGCTGCTACGGTAACAGGGCTGATGCCTCGGTACTTCGGGAAGGCTTCAGGCAGGGTTTCTTTATCCCCTTCCGGGAGCAGGGGGGATCGGGGGGGTTGCGCAACCTGAAGTCGGTGGCGGATTTCCCGGGGGTGGTACGGGAAAAACTAGACAAGGAGGTTGCGCTAGGGCGGATGGCGGGCCCATTTACGGTACCCCCATTGGAGGACCTCCGGGTTTCCCCTCTCGGAGTGGTGCCAAAGAAGGAGCCCGGGAAGTTCCGGCTCATTCACCACCTCTCCTACCCAAAAGGGGAGTCGGTGAATGACGGTATTGATAAGGACTTATGCTCGGTCTCGTATGCATAATTCGACCGGGCGGTCGAGCTGGTTAAACGGGCCGGGCATGGGGCGCTTATGGCTAAAGTGGATGTTGAGGCGGCGTTTCGGCTGCTGCCGGTCCACCCGGACTGTCACCACCTGCTGGGATGTTTTTTCGAGGGGAAATATTTCGTGGACTTGTGCCTCCCTATGGGCTGTTCCATCTCATGCTCCTATTTCGAGAAATTTAGTACTTTTCTCGAATGGGTGGTGCGGGTGGAGGCGGGGAACCGTTCGGTGGTGCACTACTTGGACGATTTCTTTTGTGTGGGGCCGGCTGCCTCCTCGGCATGCCAGCAACTGCTTAGGACCATGGAATGGGTGGCGGGCCACTTCGGGGTGCCGCTGGCAGCGGATAAGACGGAGGGCCCAGCGACGTGCCTTAGTTTCCTGGGGTTGGAAATAGATTCGATCTTGGGTGAATGCCGACTGCCTCTGGACAAGCTGGAGGGGCTCAGGGAGGCAGTAGCTGCGGTGACCGTTGCGCGCAAGGTTACGCTGCGGCAACTGCAGTCGCTGATAGGGATGCTGAACTTTGCATGCCGTGTAATTTATATGGGGAGGGTTTTCAGCCACAGCCTGGCGGCTGCTACGGCAGGAGTTCGATCCCCACACCATTTCATACGGGTGTCGGCAGCCATGAGGGCTGATTTGGGCGTTTGGGATGCCTTCCTGCAGGATTTCAACGGGACGGTGTTTTCCGGCGGGCGGGTAAGTCGGCGGCGGAGCTGGAGCTCTTCACGGATGCGTCGGGTAGTGTGGGCTTCGGGGCCTACTTCGGCGGGAGATGGTGCGCGGAGTGGTGGCCGGAGGCATGGGGGTCCAGCCCAGTCATGCGCAACCTGGCTTTTCTGGAATTATTCCCGTTGGTCGTTGCAATGGCACTGTGGGGCGAGGGGCTCCGGGACCAGAAAGTGGTCTTTTTCTCGGACAACATGGCGGTGGTGCATGCGGTGAATAATCAATCGGCTGCCTCTAAGCCGGTGATTAGGTTGCTGCGGCGCTTTGTGTTGATGTGTATGTCACGGAATGTTGTGTTTCGCGCGCGGCATGTCCCTGGGTACCTGAATGAGGTGGCTGACGCTCTGTCTCGTTTTCAGTGGTCCCGATTTTGGACGATGGCGCCAGGAGCATTGAAGGAGGGGCAGGCATGCCCGGACGAGATATGGCAGCTGGGAGCGTCCTTCTTGGGGGACTTGTGAAGGCTTCACTGGCACCGGCCACATGGGCCTCCTACAGTAAGGTCTGGGACTCTTGGGAGCGGTCATTATACGGGTTGGAGCATGGCTTATGTGGGGATGCGCTGCGGGACGCTTTTCTGTGGTACACCTGTCAATTGCTGGCAAAGGGGGCGTCCCCGGCGGTGGTCGACAGGTCCATGGCGGCAATGGCTTTCTGGTTCCGGTGGCGCGGGACGGAGGATCTGACCAAGACCTTCCTAGTACGGCAGGCGTTAAAGGGTTATCGAAAGGGCCGCAGGTCATGTGACTCTAGGCGCCCGGTGTCTGTACGGGTGTTGGGGGATCTGGTGGGTCGGTTGCCGGAAATTTGTTTCAACGAGTTTGAGGTCTCTTTTTTCAGAGCGGCTTTTCTCTTGGCATTCTTCGGGGCGTTCCGCGTGGGGGAGCTAGTGAGTGCCAGTAGGGTTTTGCCCGGGGGTCTGCAGGCCTCAGGGGTTCGTGTTTTGGAGGGTAAGGTGGTTGTGCATCTGGGAAGATCTAAGACAGAAGTCCGCTATGGGCTCTGCCGGGCGCAGTATTGTGCCCGGTGGCTGCAGTGGCGGAGTACATGGCTCGGAGGCCGGCGGAAGGGGGTTCCTTCTTGGTACATGCGGATGGTTCTTCCCTGTCCCGATTTCAGTTTACAAAGGTTTTTCGGTCCGGACTAGGTAAGTTGGGGCTTCCGGCCGGACGTTTTGGTACTCACTCCTTTCGCATTGGGGCAGCCACGGAGGCCGCACGGTTGGGACTAGGAGATGAGGTCGTGAAGCGCATAGGGAGATGGGAGTCGGTGCGGTTCCGCTCATATGTACGGTTGGGCTTATTGGAATAATAAAAAAATAAAAAAACGTGTACATGTATGTGTATGTATATGTTTATATATATATGTATATGTATAGATATGGTACGGGGCGGGCATGGATGGGGGAGTTCCTCTTTTGCCTTTCCCTCACGTTCGTTTTCTTCTTCTCCCCAGGACGGGTTGCTTGGATTGTGGGACATTCCTTTGTCTTCTGGGCCGAGAGGAGGGCCGCAGCTCGAATGCAGGGCCAGCAGCTGGGCTTTCCGAAGGACCAGTTGGCAGTCCGATGGTTTGGGTACCAGGGATTTTGCTGGGGGGAGGTTTGTGGGGCAATGTTTAGGATGGTGGCGGGCGGGAAGACGCCGGACATGGTGGTCCTTCATGCTGGGGGTAACGACTTGGGCCTCACGCCGCAACGACGGTTGGTAAAGTGGATGAAGCAGGACATCAACAAACTGAGGGACCTGCTTCCGGGGGTTATGTTAGTGTGGTCGGAGATTGTCCCAAGGCGTCGATGGCGGCACGCGCGGGATCCGGTGGCGATTGATCAATGCAGGAAGAAAGTGAACAGCTTGATGGCAAGCTTTGTTAGGAAGGTGGGGGGCGTGGTGGTACGGCACAGCGAGTTGGAAGAGGGGTTGCCGGGGTACTACCGCTCGGATGGGGTTCATCTTTCGGAGGTGGGTTGGGATCTGCTCAACTTGGGTTGGCAGGTTGGTATGCAGCGGGCGCTGTTTCTTCGGGGTGGCGGAGCTCAGACGGCTTAAGGGGTCAAGGTCTGAGCTTATGGCGGGATGGGGAGCTGAAGGAGAGGAAATAGGCTCCCCAGGATGAACGTAATGGAAAACAAACAAGTGGTGGTCATCGGTGGTTGATAGGTTTCGAGTCCTGTCGGTGGCTCAGAACCTGGTGGGGTAGGGGTATCCGGGTATACCCCTGCCGTGGCTAATGGATGGTTGGCACTTTACATCGATTGGAATAATGTTGATGTATGTTATATATATATATGTTTATTTATATGGGGGTCATTGCCCTTTATATGTTAATGGAAGGAATAGGATGCGAGGGCGGAGTATGGGGGGCAATGACCCATGTTTACTTGTTAAGTTATTATTATTATTATTATTATTATTGTTATTATTATTGTTTGCTTAATAAAGCTGTGGACATATTTCCCCATATCCCTTAGTGTCCGTGCGTTATTGGGTTAGGTGATGGGGTTGTTGTCCTGGATTCCGACTGCCCAAAATGGCGACTATACACCTGTCATGTTTTATACAGGTGCAACATATAATCACTGAAACTGTGAATGTCTCTGTGTGTGTTTGTGTGTGTATAAGTGTTTGTGTGTGTGTATCTGTGTGTCTGTGTATGTATCTGTGTGCTTGTGCGTAAGTGTTTGTGTATGTCTCTGTTGACTGTCTGCATAAGTGTATTAGACAGGTGTCTGTGAGTGTGTCTGCGCGTGCGTGTGTTAGAGGGCACTGTGTGTGTGTGCCTGTTTATGTGTTAGTGTGTGTGTGAGAGATAGGTGTCTGTGTGTGTTTGTGTGTGTGTGTGTGTGTGTGTGTATGTGTGTGTGTGCTCAGGGGTCAACTATACAAAGCAAGTTCTAGATCTTTCAGATCTACATAAAATACCAATATAGGAAGTGAGTGATCCTCATACGGTCCATTCAAAGCATCTGATTTTTGTCGGGATCCTTACTTAACACTAATAGTGTTTATTAAGGACAAGGAAAACTTTTGGCAAAATACTATAAAACATCTTTAGTGTTTTAGAGATAATGCACTGATAAGTGATGAGGAGGCAGAAACTTAGTGATCTCCTTAATAATTCATCCAAAATTATATATAGCATAAAGATTCAAGAGCAGAAATCAATGGCTGCCTAATGCAGACATTGGCATTCTACATGTACAGTATTTGTTATCAATTAATATGCATTGTTCTGCATCTGCACACATTGTATAGAGATTCCAAAAGAATGCATATTTTAAAATAATTTTTCAGCAAATTCTGACGTGCATAAAAGATAACACAAGGTCAAAAGTGACAAAGAAAGGAAATTAATTAATCAACAAAATAATAATTAACTTCAGTAAATGTTTGCATGATAATTTAATGCACTAGCACATCTTTGATAAAGATTACTTAAAGGGACACTGTAGGCATCTAAATAACTTTATCTTAGTGAAGTTGTTTTGGTGTATAGATTATGCCAATGCAGTCTCACTGCTCAATCCTCTGCCATTTAGGAGTTAAATCACTTTGTTTCTGTTTATGGAGCTCTACTCACACCTCCCCTGGCTGTGACTGACAGAGCCTGCATGAAAACAAAATGGTCACATTATCAGATGCTAACTTACTTTAAAAGTTTTTGTCTCCTGCTCTGTAAATTGAACTTTAATCATACACAGGAGGCTCCTGCAGTCTAGCATACTATTAATAGTGCATGAGATAAGAGATTCTAAATTAAACAAACTGTGCAATAAAGGAAGTGTAAACTTTAGATCTCTCTTTACATGCAGGGGGATGTGCCTAAGGCTGTATAAACAAAGTGATTTATCTCCTAAATGGAAGAGGATTGAGCAGTAAGGCTGCAGGGGCATGATCTATAAACCAATACTGCTTCATTAAGCCAAAGTAGTTTGGTGACTATTGTGTCCCTTTAATAATCATTGCAGAATACAACTGCCTCCCAGAAGCCACTCAATGTCTAAAACATCCAGAGACAGATTAGAGATGGAAACGTCATGGTTATTATATACCTGTCACAGGTATTTTCTAGGTTTTACAGAATATTTTACAATAAATAAAAAGCATCTGTTGGGCAAAGTTGTCTGGGCAGAGACAGAGGTTGGAGGAAAATGAATAAAATGACTATCAGATAAAACACTGGACTCCACTAGTGCCAATAAGACTGAAAGATATGACCAAATGGGGACTGTATAACGAAATGACCGACAAGGCACCGACAGAGCACCGTTACCGTAACAGTACTGCCATCCATGGGCAGTTATTTCTGTTAATATAATAATACAATACTGTATTGCTGGATATATCGAGCTGTAAAACATGCGCCATGTCTGGTTGATTCCATAAACATGTTCCTTTCTGGTGTTCCCATGTCCATCCAATTAAATGTTAGGGAATATGAAGCACTGGAGATTCCCAGCTCACTGAGTGATTGAGTCAGAGTGGACCAGAATACCTACAGAATATGACAAGAACCGTGCTGAGTCCGTGCTATGGATAATACATGCTAAACGAAATGGAGCAAAGTGAATAACCAAGGCCTAAAATAGGCAGCCGGAACAGTTCTTTACTTGATATTTATTATTAATATTAATAATAATAATAACTATTTTGATTTGTAACTTTCATAAGTCACTTGTCAAGTCATGAAGAGCTCAGTCAGGAGTAATCGCCATGGAAACAAACAGAATGTTGCTTATAATAATATATACAATTTATACAGATTGACTTATACAGCAACGCGGTATTGTCATCAAGGGTCGAGAGCAAACAGTCATACATCCATTCCTTCTCTTTGTTGATTTTCCTGATTTGAACATTTTGTTAGAACTTCCCTAACTGTCTCGAGAATGAGTTAGTCATCGAAGGATGTGGTGTGAGTGCAGAGGAAATTACACATGGTACAGAATGCTTCCTCTGTTAGAATTAAGCCTCCCATGTGCAGGTCTTGAGTTAACTCCACCTTTATCATCCACTTGGTGTGTTCTGTACCCCCTACACTCAGACACAGACCAGGTGTACAGTCTGTGTGTCCATCACAAAACACACACTGTATTTTCAGCCACTCTGCAGGTGCATGGCTACATATAAGATTGATCTCCACTTTACTGAGGTAAGATAGATTCTCTGTGTCCTGGTGTTTCACTAATAATTATGGATTCAGCTATTATTTACCTTTAATTTCTGACCATCTGCTTTCGCCAAGAAGACCCCTCAAGTAGCAGGTAACGTATGCTGGCTGAGAATGCTGTGAGTTGAAGCCCAACCACATTCTGCAAGAAGCGATGTCCTGCCTTCAGTAGTTTTTGTGTCTGTATACCACAATATAGTATATAGTTATATAAATACATATTTTTCTTTGTACATATTCCAACACAGTTTAATGTTTTCACTAAAATGGTTTACAAACAGTCAAGCAGCCTTGCATAAAAAAATTATTTTATTCATTTACAAAAATTGTAAATATCTTAATTTGTATTTATATTTACATTTATCTTTTATCATTGCTAGATGTCATAAAATGTTTGATAATTTGTAATTTTATTTTACTATAGCTAGCCTATGGATACACTGAATGTAAATGGACAAAATATGGAACACTTGAAATCAGAGTGTAACGAATGGAGCAAGTCTCTCAATTAAATACACAAAGAAATTCACCATATAGATTTAGTTACTGCGAAATTGTTGCACTTTTTTTGTGATTTGTGTTACACGTGGGCCGACCTCTCTAAGTTTCACAATTTGTATGATTTTTCCACCAAGTTCAGGAAAAAAATAAAGAATGCAGAAAGCATAGTGGGGGGTGGGGGAAGGGGGTCATCTGATTTTATTTGCTGGCAATAAATGGACAAATAAATTATAACATTGACCCAGAAAAAAAAGATATTAGGAAGGCCCTGCTCAAACTACCTAACAAAATTATGCAACCAGGCAAAAATAGCCAGCTCATTAAGGGTTAACCTCTAAGTAACGAAATAGCCAGCTCGGTAAGGGTTAAGCTCTAAGTAACAAAATAGCCAGCTCAGTAAGGGTTAACCTCTAAATAACAAAATAGCCAGCTCATTAAGGGTTAACCGCTAAGTAACAAAATAGCCAGCCCATTAAGGGTTAACCTCTAAATAACAAAATAGCAAGCTCAGTAAGGGTTAACCTCTAAATATCAAAATAGCCAGCTCATTAAGGGTTAACCTCTAAATAACAAAATAGCCAGCTCATTAAGGGTTAACCGCTAAGTAACAAAATAGCCAGCTCAGTAAGGTTTATGGCAACCTTTTGGCCAATATATCTTATGTGAAATACTTCTCCATTTCAGGGAGAGACACATGTTGTCACAAACTGACTACAAACTGGAGTTTAGAGAATGACCTGCCTGATTGCTCAACAAACCCCCATGTGTCATGTGACCTAAGAGCATACACTGTGTATGTGATATATTATATAATATAATATGATGTTTTGACTATTTTGAAGAAAAATAAATGCTTTAAAAGTTTCACCCAAAATATAAAACTAAGGCCTATATTTTGTGTCCTGTTAATTAAGGGGATGTTTACAATCTAACACTATCTATCTTTCTATAGTTACCAACCATCGATGCCATCGTTTAGCTCAGGTTCTGTTATTGTGAAATCTAATACCTTTTACAGATCAATAGTTTGTCACAAGTCATCGTAAATATAACTAATTTCAGAAATAAATAAACATTCTATTAATGTGATTCATTGGCCTTCCAACTAGTATACGCTGGTAAAACAGCTACTACTATTCATACCATCATAACAGCCAATCAGGTTGGGTCATTTTATTCTGTGAGATGGTGCAAGGGGTCCCAATATAGACCTATCCCTTTATAATGTATGTCTTCCTGGTAGATAGAATTAGATTAGATAGATTAAATATTACATAAAATAGAGACTTGCTGTGTGTCCTTTTTTCAGTTCTTTTCTACTAAGACAGTCGGTCAGGCCATAACAGAACGCCCTCAGCTAACTGTTTAATATTCTGTGTATTCTCCTATAAGACAAGACGCAACCAACCAGCCCACAGTTGGATCTCCGCAAAAATCTCATGATGGGAATAATGAAAGGTCCATTGTCGTATTCACTGTGCTCTTCCATTTAGAAAGGGAAGGCATATTTACTAATTCCAAGAAAGCCTCGTCAGTAAATATAATGAAATGTAACTATATCCTGAGATTCATATAAAGACATCTATGGTATGGAACGTATTAAACCTGTTAACATCTCTCAGCAGAAAATGAACACGTTCCTACTTTTACTTTGGATTCTGCCATTTGTAGAAGGTAAGCCTATGGTTAGGATTGTGGAAGAAATCTTTCTTCATTGTGTTAGATTATATCATGGGCTCTACATATACTGATCCAGCCATGACTCTTGTTTTAGAAAGATAAGAAGCTGATTTGAACTTGATATTAGCTAAGCCTATTACTGCGGCTTGGATGGCTGAAATTGGCTGAGAGTGCTGGGGATTGGTTCTCCAGGGGTGCTTCTAACCTTGTTAATCTTGTTCAGGTTGGACAGAATTGACATCAATGTGGATTTGCTAATCCCTCTTTATCGTTGGGTGAGGCGGTGGTGGTTTTTGGGTGCCGGGGATAGTTCACTCAATGGTTTGACATAAATGTATGTGATAAATGTGGGATCTTATCATCATCTTTAACAAGTAACCCCTCCTACCTACAGACCACATGAGTAAAAGGGGTACTGCATGCATGTACATCCGGCTGAGTGACAGATGTACTGCTCAGCCCTACAAATAGATATAAATTAACAGCCCTGTCGAAGAGCTCTTGCATTAGCTGAATGCCATGGATGTAATTTGCACAGCTCATCTAATGATTGCATTGTGTGTTCTGTGAACTCGGGCTCTACCGTACACCAGGGGGAAAACCAAAGATGGCAGGGCAGAAAGAAATCTCGGACTGTCCAGTCAAGTCTAGGGCTGCTGGGAAGTATTCTCCCACATACCCCACATAAACCTCCACCACCTACCTGCTGTGTGGTCCTATGCTAGTGGTGCTAAAAGTGCTATTTGTTTCTTTTCCATTTTTTAGGCCAAACTGTGACACTTACTACTACATCCCAACCACCACAAACATCATTGGAAGGTGGAAAGTTGAATAATGACTCCACGACAGCTCACGGTATGAATTCTAATAACAAACTGCAACAGACAAAACTTCCGTCAGATGGCATAACAAGCATTATCTATGATACATTAACAGCCTTTTATTGCCAAATAATCTTCTGTGATTGACCAAACTGTTAAAATAAAGCAGCATTGATCATAGTTACTCACAGCTGAAGTCATGCCATCCTCTTTACATAGTGACCATAACGCTAAGCGACATCACCAACCAATCAGAAAAAGCTCCCATGGACCGTGATCAAAATACAACAATTCCCATCGACAACAAGTCAACGATAACTCCCACCAGAGGTAACAACTGAAATTCCTTTAGATAATCAATATTTATTGTGTTTGTTTATTGTCTCCTTTAAATAGTAAGTTTGGATTCCAATAAACTCCAACCCACAAACTGTGTATGGAAGCCCTGTAATGGAACACACTCACTTTAAAAACAATTATATGTTTTTTATATTTCCATCTGTTTAATTGAGGCTTCAAAGAGAGCAATAGAAGAACATTGTTACAGAACAATACGTAAATATCAGAGTCTCTAAACCCGAGAAAGAAACTTCAGTGGATGGTAATAACACATAAAACCGACATACATTATAAACTGCAGAACACCGAATAGATTGAGCCAAGTTAGATACACAAAGAAAGTGGGGGGTAACCCCAAATAAAGAATAAAGAGAACAAGAATGATCTGATCTGCAACTATATATCTTTTTTATTTTATCTAGACGATTTATATTTTTCTTTATAGATTTGTCTAGCAACTATTTTAGACTTTTTGGTGTTTATATGGTAGCACGTATTTGGGTCACATATTTGTTTTGCTCAATAAACTTTTATTATTTTTGTTTTTAGTGGCTTTATCTGACCTTTATAGTAGGCTATTTGTTGGCTATCTTGAATTTCGTTGATGCTTATATTTTGCATCATGAATTAGATACACTTCATCCTGTTCTCTTTATACATTATAAACTGCTTACTTGTTGATATTGTGTTTAATGTTAAAGTGTTCTTGGAGACTTTTAAATTATGAGTCGTTCCCTTTTAAAATAAAAAGTGCCGTATTTTACTAACCTATTATCCAATCCAATCTCTGGTCCAATCCAGAGCTATGATGGAGGCGTATAATTGTATGTTGGATTCTATTTTTCACACATAACAAATATATATATATTTAGATATAGGGATAAGGAAACACATTTTAAGAAATCATTGTAAGTTGTAGTCGCCCTTTAATTCACTCATGTGATGACCATACAGTTTTATGAACACACAGACAAGGTTGGGGTATAAAATGATCTTTATTTTGCTCCCGTTTTGGGGTGAATCTCTCTGCTGATTGCAGTGAAATGAGCACAGCTTTGCACAGTTTATGGTAAGATAGCTAAACTGTAACTAAAGCTGGCGATTGTGAAGGAATACCCCATCACTTTCGGCTCCTTTCGTTTGTTTGGATTCCACAGAGACCAATTAGAACGTGGAACATTATGTATCTTGTATGAAAACCGCAAACGAAAGAATTAATAGAATGCTCCACTGGGTGGCCACAATTTCGGGGGAAATGGATGGCGGCCATTTTGTCTCCCGAATGCTGGCAGCGGGACTTGGTCGTCGAGTACCTGGAATTCATTTCTGCCAGGCACTCCTGCAAACACCAGTCAAAATGGTCCTACGGCCCGTTCCAGTTCTCCTATACAAACGTCGTTCGAGAGTTACAGACTACCAAAGATGGGGAACAGTCTACATGAACCAGCTTTCCTCTACCTTGATGACAGCACAGTCCTCTCTCCAGATTACACACACAATGATCAGCTCTGCATTATAGGGCATTGTACTGTACACTGGGATGTGGTAAATAGAGGTCCATCTAGGCCAGTACTTATACCTGTCTGGTGGTTTAGTGATTGCAGTCAGATTATATTCCCAACAATTAAATACAGCTGCTTGAGATACCTGAGTTTCCTCCCTCCCAGGGCTCCAGCTTTTAAAGATACCCACGCTTCCTTCCTTCCTTCCATCTCTCCAGCTGCTTGAGATACCAAAACTCCCTCCCTCTCAGGGATCTAGCTGCAAGAGATATCCAAGCTTCGTCCCTCTCAGGGATCCAGCTGCTCGAGATACCCAAGCTTTGTCCCTCTCAGGGATCCAGCTGCAAGAGATATCCAAGCTTTGTCCCTCTCAGGGATCCAGCTGCTCGAGATACCCAAGCTTTCTCCCTCTCAGGGCTCTCGCTGTTCGAGATACCCAAGCTTCCTCCCTCTCAGGGCTCCTGCTGCTCAATATATCCAAGCTTCCTCCCTCTCAGGGCTCCAGTTGCTCGAGATATCCAAGTTTCCTCCCTCTCAGGGCTTCTGCTGTTCGAGATACCCAAGCTTCCTCCCTCCAAGGGCTCCAGCTGCTCAAGATATCCAAGCTTCCTCCCTCTCAGGGCTCCTGCTGCTCGAGATATCCAAGCTTCCTCCAGGGCTCCAGTTGCTCGAGATATCCAAGTTTCCTCCCTCTCAGGGCTCCAGCTGCTCAAGATATCCAAGCTTCCCCCCTCTCAGGGCTCCTGCTGCTCAAGATATCCAAGCTTCCCCCCTCTCAGGGCTCCTGCTGCTCGAGATATCCAAGCTTCCTCCCTCACAGGGCTCCCGCTGCTCAAGATACCCAAGCTTCCCCCTCCCAGGACTCCACCTGCTTGAGATACGGAAGCTTCCTCCCTCCCAGGACTCCACCTGCTTGAGATACGGAAGCTTCCTCTCTCCCATACACTGCCAGAACCTCACTTCCTGGACAATAGCCCTATAAGTCCCCCCTTGTAATACTGATCTTTATAAATATACAAAATGGGTAAACAATATATTTTATAATTTAATTTAATATGCTCCTTATCACTTTATTCTAAATTTAGTCTTAAATCAATTCTTACTTTTAATCTTAGGAAAAATTATATTCTTATTGTCCCCAATCTATCAGAGATATTCACTAAACTGTGTATTTTGGGAATTTGGAGGGAGGTTGCATTTTATCTCAGAATACTTGAACTGGAAAAATGATTCAGGTAACATTTATTTTAATGTTAGCTTCTTTGACCCAAATGTAACATTTATTTTGAGTTCATGAGACTACCGTGCATTGAATGTGTTCTCTGTAAGAGGTAAAATATTGCATACAGGGTATCACAAGAAAGAGGAGGACCTGAGATTTAATAGAGAATGTTTTTTTTAATACAAGAGGAGGATGTTGTCAAGCAGCAATGAGTAATAGATCATTATTCCTCTCCTACGAGTTAAGTGATTTCACAAACCTGTTCTTTTTTTCCTTAACAGATGTGTCAAAAATCAAAGATGATCCATTCTTCTACGGTGGGTGACAATCTGTTTGGAATATGTTGTTACAGAGGTAGAGATTTTACAGGGCACAGGGGCGGAATCACTAAAATCAATCTGTAAATTATTTAACTAGAAGGATACATTTCGGGGGGTATTGCTGCGAAATATGTCTTGGAGTGTAAATGTAATAAATCCCGATTAACTGAGAATTAGCTTACTGACCTTAAAAGATTGTAAGATTATGATTTGCTAAAGCGATTATTTAATAAACTGGGAAAAATGGAGACTGGCCAGGAGAATTGCAAATCATTTTTTCCTTTTTTGTTAAATTAATTTTGCACCGTACATCTACTCTTTTCTCCCAAACTTCCGTGTTTGCCTCTTTACATCAAATTAAGTTGCGCATGATTTCATCACTTTGTTTTATGTTAATTCATCTGTTAGCTTTCTACAATAGAACAACAAATCTCAGGAACCCTTCCTGTGCCCGCAAGGCACTGTTTATGAGGTAAAAGCTCAGCAGTGAAAGTTGGCTGAATGTCATAATTAGATGAGCCATTTCCAGGTCTGAGCAGAGATCCCTGTAGAAGCTAAAAAGCCTGGTGATTTGCAGTAACATAAAGATTTCTTTAAATACGAATTTCTTTTTTATTTTCTTTCATTCTTAATGTATTGCTCTCATACTTGATTCATTAAAGAGATGATAGTATCCAGCTGAAATGTCCCTTTAATTAACACTATGTTCAAACACTGAAGAGTTCTAGAGTAGCACTCTCCAATAACTGGCTGTGATCCCTCTACCGGGCTGCAAATGATGTATTTGTCATTCTGTTCATTTTGGAGGTGGGTGTGATTAATCAATGGATTTTAAAGTGCATCCCCAGCTGCCAAGCTCACCATTAATCTGCTGCCATTCCTGTCCTACGAGGCTTTGTGCATTGAGCATGTCTCATAAATAAACATTATAAATGAATATTGCATAAACAAGCCAAAGGCAACATGAAAGTATCGAAAAAAATAAGCAATCAGATAAAGGCAGTCTATTAAAATCACGTTATTAACTATTAATGACGTGTTAGTATACACAGCTCCATCCCTTTGGTTTAACGCTACATGAACTATACGCTGCAATTCAAACACCATCTCTACTGCGTTCGTTTTGTCTCAATATGTTAAGATTGTCCCCACCAAACTGAGCAATGAAAGTGAGCTATAATGATTATTATATTATGATATTCCATCTCTATATTGCCCAGACATTCATATCCACGCATGATCAGGAGAGGCGATACATGGCATTAGACACATAACAAATGATTCAGTAATTTATTGGATAAGTTGTTCCTGTAATATTTGATTTAAAATTGTCTTATTTACCTCTGTACATTTTGATTCCATACAAACCTGGCAATCTTTTCTCCTGAAGTCTTTGAATGAGCTTTAAAGAAAACGAAAACTTTTTGCTTCCCTATACATTATTTTGGTTCTTCTCCTAAAACTCTTTTATATTATAAGAATTCAACACAGTGCAGTGTTTTTTTTAAAAACCTTTTCCTTACTAGTTTGTCCAATTAAATCTAGCGTCACGTGGCCCTTTTGTGTTACTTCCCCTTCCTATTTTTCTCTTTCATGTCCAAAAGAACGTTCATGTTTAATTCTCCTACGTCTTCTGCTATTTCAAAATCTTTTCCTTTTTAATAATTCTTCTCTACACATTTGTCCTTTACCCAAACTGCCTGCATGTTGAATACATTGTCTGTACAATTTTTGCTCTGCCTTAACATTTGACTTTTGGGAATGTTTTTAAGCCAGGCAGTAAAATGACAGCCGTCACTTCCTATGTACCCAATCACATACACTTTAAAAAGAAAAAATGTTTTTTTTATACTTTTAACTTATCCTTTTCTAAAAAATATATTGTGCTAAGGTGCATGGAATTGTCAGTGACGATATTTATATCTCTATTTTTGAGAGAGGGTTATGGTATCCACCCCCCTCGGTTTTTAATTAACTCTAAAACAAAAAGGATGAATCTGAATTGACTCCAAACCTTGCTTGTCTATAATAGAGTATTAGCAGTAACATAAATAAATTTCTGGCTGAGTGAAGACAAAGACCAAATGTGCAGATTATCTAGAGGTCGGTGAATCCTATGTTTTGTGAGTTTAACCTTAAGTCAGAAAGGGATGTTGGTTTGTGCTCTGATGGCCTAAGTTTTTTTTTTTTGCATATTAGTTTAAGTTGCCTGTTACAGCACATTATGGCAGAGACGATACTGAGTGCTTTGTGACTCTCCAAGACTGTGGTTAATAAATACCTTGCGTGCTTTATGTAAGGACTTGAGGCCTTGCATGGCAGCAGGATCACAATATCTAAATCAAAAAATAAATAATGATGCAAGTTAGCATAAAAACAGTTATTATGATTATAATTATTAGTTTAAAAAGCCCCAAAATCCTTCAATGACTAGACGGCCTCCGTCCACACAAAAACCTAATAATCAGTGCATTTGTGATAGAGAATGAGGCTTGCACTCTAGTAGATATCCTCGCAATGGGCCATAAATAGCTGGATGGGAACCCCATTACCGTTCTCCTCTCCAACAGGTAAAAAAAAATCCCCTCAAATGAAGAAAAAATGATCTAAAGTAACTAAATGCTTGCTGTAATAAAACTAGTCACAATTAATTTTACCTTCTGATTCTAGAAATTATTTTACAGCATTGCATTCCAATTTTTGTTTACGTTATTATGTAAACTTTCCAAATCACTGCTAATTTATAAATATTCACCATTACCCTCAAATGTGCCCAACATGCTAACAAGGTTCATACTTTCCTTTAGATAAGATCTTGTAGTTATGTTACCGGAAAACATAGAAGAAGCCACACATAGAGATATGGACACAGGTATTCAGGAAATAACAGATCTTTTATTTACACACCGATCGGGTCTCAGATGAACTCCTGTTCCAAAAATATCTGAGAGGCAGAAAGCATGGTGCCGAGGCCTGTTATTAGTAGCATATCCCCTCCCATACAGTATAACCCCTCCAATATTCCTCAGACCAATCAGCACACAGGATATTCAGGATCACCTTATATGGGCAGACCACATGGCTTGTTGAAGACAAAGGAATGTACTATCCACTTCCACACATGCTCAGTACACTGATGGCTCATCCAACTGTTTGTAATCAGATACTAATTAGCATATGCCATGTGGAGATTTCGGCCTACTAAATTTTGACAATGCTGGAATCCCATCACAACTTTGTTATAACATTGTAATTACTAAAAAAAGAATTGAAAAGATATTTATGCAATTTGAGGAGTAAATAAGAACTGGTACCTTAAAGCTGATGTTTATGTATCCACAGTCTTTTTTAGTTAACATCCCTTAATCTTATCACTAAGATTAGCTTGGTTTGATTGGATGATAATCATTAGCGGTTGTCACAGGTTCGGTTTGATTGGATGATAACCATTAGCGGTTGTCGCAGGTTTGGTTTGATTGGATGATAACCATTAGCGGTTGTTACAGGTTTGGTTTGATTGGATGATAACCGTTAGCGGTTGTTACTGATTTGGTTTGATTGGATGATAACCATTAGCGGTTGTTACAGGTTTGGTTTGATTGAATGATAACCATTAGCGGTTGTTACAGGTTTGGTTTGATTGGATGATTACCATTAGCGGTTGTTACAGGTTCGGTTTGATTGGATGATAACCATTAGCGGTTGTTACAGGTTTGGTTTGATTGGATGATTACCATTAGCGGTTGTTACAGGTTCGGTTTGATTGGATGATAACCATTAGCGGTTGTTACAGGTTTGGTTTGATTGGATGATAACCATTAGTTGTTACAGGTTTGGTTTGATTGGATGATAACCATTAGCGGTTGTTACAGGTTTGGTTTGATTGGATGATAACCATTAGCGGTTGTTACAGGTTTGGTTTGATTGGATGATAACCATTAGCGGTTGTTACAGGTTTGGTTTGATTGGATGATAACCATTAGCGGTTGTTACAGGTTTGGTTTGATTGGATGATAACCATTAGCGGTTGTTACAGGTTAGGTTTGATTGGATGATAACCGTTAGCGGTTGTTACTGATTTGGTTTTATTGAATGATAACCATTAGCGGTTGTTACAGGTTCAGTTTGATTGGATGATAACCGTTTGCAGTTGTTACAGGTTTGGTTTGATTGGATTATAATCATTAGCGGTTGTTACAGGTTTGGTTTGATTGGATGTTAACCATTAGCGGTTGTTACAGGTTTGGTTTGATTGGATGATAACCATTAGCGGTTGTTACAGGTTTGGTTTGATTGGATGATAACCATTAGCGATTGTTACAGGTTTGGTTTGATTGGATGATAACCATTAGCGATTGCTACAGGTTTGGTTTGATTGGATGATAACCATTAGCGGTTGTTACAGGTTCAGTTTGATTGGATGATAACCGTTTGCAGTTGTTACAGGTTTGGTTTGATTGGATTATAATCATTAGCGGTTGTTACTGATTTGGTTTGATTGTATGAAACCATAAGCGGTTGTTACAGGTTTGGTTTGATTGAATGATAACCATTAGCAGTAGTTACAGGTTAGGTTTGATTGGATGATGACCATTAGCCTTTGTTCCACGTTTGGTTTGATTGGATGATAACCATTAGCGATTGCTACAGGTTTGGTTTGATTGGATGATAACCATTAGCGGTTGTTACAGGTTCGGTTTGATTAGATGATGACCATCATTAGCGGTTGTTACAGGTTTGGTTTGATTAGATGATAACCATTTGCAGTTGTTACAGGTTTGGTTTGATTGGATGATGACTATTAGCCTTTGTTCCAGGTTTGGTTTGATTGGATGATAACCATTAGCGGTTGTTACAGGTTCAGTTTGATTAGATGATAACCATTTGCAGTTGTTACAGGTTTGGTTTGATTGGATGATAACCATTAGCGGTTGTTACAGGTTTGGTTTGATTGGACGATAATCGTTATCGGTTGTTACTGATTTGCTTTGATTGGAGGATAACCGTTTGCAGTTGTTACAGGTTTGGTTTGATTGGATGATAACCATTAGCGGTTGTTACTGATTTGGTTTGATTGGATGATAACCATTAGCGGTTGTTACAGGTTTGGTTTGATTGGATGATAACCATTAGCGGTTGTTACAGGTTTGGTTTGATTGGATGATAACCATTAGCAGTTGTTACAGGTTTGGTTTGATTGGATGATAACCGTTTGCAGTTGTTACAGGTTTGGTTTGATTGGATGATAACCATTAGCATTACTGAGTTTTGATTGTGATATCTGATTTGGTTTGATTGGATGATAACCATTAGCGGTTGTTACAGGTTTGGTTTGATTGAATGATAAGCCATTAGCAGTTGTTACAGGTTTGGTTTGATTGGATGATTACCATTAAGCGGTTGTTACAGGTTCAGTTTGATTGGATGATAACCGTTTGCAGTTGTTACAGGTTTGGTTTGATTGGATTATAATCATTAGAGGTTGTTACTGATTTGGTTTGATTGTATGAAACCATAAGCGGTTGTTACAGGTTTGGTTTGATTGAATGATAACCATTAGCAGTAGTTACAGGTTAGGTTTGATTGGATGATGACCATTAGCCTTTGTTCCAGGTTTGGTTTGATTGGATGATAACCATTAGCGATTGCTACAGGTTTGGTTTGATTGGATGATAACCATTAGCGGTTGTTACAGGTTCAGTTTGATTGGATGATAACCGTTTGCAGTTGTTACAGGTTTGGTTTGATTGGATTATAATCATTAGCGGTTGTTACTGATTTGGTTTGATTGTATGAAACCATAAGCGGTTGTTACAGGTTTGGTTTGATTGAATGATAACCATTAGCAGTAGTTACAGGTTAGGTTTGATTGGATGATGACCATTAGCCTTTGTTCCAGGTTTGGTTTGATTGGATGATAACCATTAGCGATTGCTACAGGTTTGGTTTGATTGGATGATAACCATTAGCGGTTGTTACAGGTTCGGTTTGATTAGATGATGACCATCATTAGCGGTTGTTACAGGTTTGGTTTGATTAGATGATAACCATTAGCAGTAGTTACAGGTTAGGTTTGATTGGATGATGACCATTAGCCTTTGTTCCAGGTTTGGTTTGATTGGATGATAACCATTAGCGGTTGTTACAGGTTCAGTTTGATTGGATGATAACCATTAGCGGTTGTTACAGGTTCAGTTTGATTAGATGATAACCATTTGCAGTTGTTACAGGTTTGGTTTGATTGGATGATAACCATTAGCGGTTGTTACAGGTTTGGTTTGATTGGATGATAACCATTAGCGGTTGTTACAGGTTTGGTTTGATTGGATGATAACCGTTTGCAGTTGTTACAGGTTTGGTTTGATTGGATGATAACCATTAGCAGTTGTTACTGATTTGTTTTGATTGGATGATAATCATTAGTAGTTGTTACAGGTTTGGTTTGATTGGATGATAACCATTAGCGGTTGTTACAGGTTTGGTTTGATTGGATGATAACCATTAGCGGTTGTTACAGGTTTGGTTTGATTGGATGATAATCATTAGCAGTTGTTGAACCATTAGGATGATAACCATTAGCGGTTGTTACAGGTTTGGTTTGATTGGATGTTAACCATTAGCGGTTGTTACAGGTTCGGTTTGATTGGATGATAACCATTAGCGGTTGTTACAGGTTTGGTTTGATTGGATGATAACCATTAGCGATTGTTACAGGTTTGGTTTGATTGGATGATAACCATTAGCGGTTGTTATAGGTTCGGTTTGATTGGATGATAACCGTTTGCAGTTGTTACAGGTTTGGTTTGATTGGATGATAACCATTAGCAGTTGTTACTGATTTGTTTTGATTGGATGATAATCATTAGTGGTTGTTACAGGTTTGGTTTGATTGGATGATAACCATTAGCGGTTGTTACAGGTTTGGTTTGATTGGATGATAACCATTAGCGGTTGTTACAGGTTTGGTTTGATTGGATGATAATCATTAGCAGTTGTTGAACCATTAGGATGATAACCATTAGCGGTTGTTACAGGTTTGGTTTGATTGGATGTTAACCATTAGCGGTTGTTACAGGTTTGGTTTGATTGGATGATAACCATTAGCGGTTGTGACAGGTTCGGTTTGATTGGATGATAACCATTAGCGGTTGTTACAGGTTTGGTTTGATTGGATGATAACCGTTAGCGATTGTTACAGGTTTGGTTTGATTGGATGATAACCATTAGCGGTTGTTACAGGTTCGGTTTGATTGGATGATAACCATTAGCGGTTGTTACAGGTTTGGTTTGATTGGATGATAACCATTAGCGGTTGTTACAGGTTCGGTTTGATTGGATGATAACCATTAGCGGTTGTTACAGGTTTGGTTTGATTGGATGATAACCATTAGCGGTTGTTACACGTTTGGTTTGGTTGGATGATAACCATTAGCGATTGTTACAGGTTTGGTTTGATTGGATGATAACCATTAGCGGTAGTTACAGGTTGGTTTGATTGGATGATAACCATTAGCGGTTGTTGTAGGTTCGGTTTGATTGGATGATAACCATTAGCGGTTGTTACAGGTTTGATTTGATTAGGTCAGTGATTAGTGACAGTTATTAAAATTATAGCTGAACAGAATTGAGATTTAGTTTCAAACATGCCTTCATTTTCACTACAGAAGAAATCACAGATTAGATTTTAATTTACCATGCTATGTAGGGTGACAGTATAGCAATGAATACTTTGTAGAGACAATGGGTTAAACAAAATACACTTGTAAGCATAAGCATGACATACAAAGCCTCTCACTAATAATTTATAACTTGGTTTTCATATAACTACAGTTTCCTATAACTACAGTTTTCCTATAACAAGGGAAGAAAAGAATGTGCTGCACAACATCATCTGCTTTAACAGACTTAAAGCCACCTTGTTCTGTTGCATCCCCTCAGTCTGTTGAATTAGATGCACTTGTTAGGTGTGATGTCATCAACAAAGGTACACCAGAGGTAAAGCAGTGTAAATTGACTAAACAGAGACACAACGAGGGGGAACAGAGTAATGTAAACAGATCGATATATTGAGCGGTGGCTGATATGGTAAGGAAGGACAGATCTTATCATGGCTCCCAGAATTTCTTAAGGCTTCTATATACATTATTACAATTCTTTTTTTAAACATGAATTCTGGAATTGTGGAAACTGACCAGGGAATTGTACATTTTATGCAAAAATAGCCAAGGCGGAAACAGTTTAAACTTTTCTTTTCAATCCAGCTATTTCAACTCAAAATGTATGGAGCCCTGGATAACTCCACGATTCCTGAATGAGGGAATGAATCTTTAGAGACTCCACATAGAAGGATATGTCTGACTGAAGTTTTAGGACATTGTCATCTCTCGGAGCAAGCAAACAGATGTAGCAGGAATTGCTAAATGCTAATATACCATATCCATTTGTTTGTTTTTTTGCTGTAACTATTGATATAACATTCTGCTGCCATTGCTTATTCTTTGCAGATTACCAATGCCTGTCACACTGGGGCCTGGTGTTCGCGTTTATTTTATTTACTCTTGGCATTATTGTGCTTTTCAGTAAGTATCTCCCATCTCTTTATGTAAGGAAGCATGTTCTTTGTACATCTAAGGCAAATAAATCACATTAATCCTGAGGTTTATATTCCATTGATTTGTATTGTATTAGCTCATTGAAGACTTAGGGCAGGCATAGGCACTCTAGATTTTGTGAACTACATCTCCCCTGATCCTTTGCCAGCATTATGGCTGTAAGTGTATTCTGGGAGATGTAGTTCACAACATCTGGAGTGCTGATGGTTGCCTACTCCTAAATCTAAACTGTAACATGTGCTGAGACAACAATATGCCCGCGTAATTTGCCAGGAAATAATAAAGGTGGAAATAAAAGCCAAGACCACTGCATTTCTAAATTTCTCAAATTGAATTTTAATATTTTATAACTCACTATTTAGTTACCAGATCCCTTAAGGCTATGGTAACTAAAGCAATTACTTTGTTCATAAACTTCCAACCGAAATTCAGGTAAATGTGGTTTATAAATATTTTCAGAGATTAATTTAAGATTACTCAGTCGTTTACCCCTTCACTGCCTAGCACTTTCTGTTTAAAAAATTATTAGTATAATATTTAATTAAAACAAGGGGAGAAGAGATGTTACATAATGAGACATTTATTATTTTGTGTACAGATTGCTTTTCTGACAAATGTAATAATTACAATGATATACAATTTACACAGTTTTTATTTTTTATTCCTTTATACACTATAGGTTTTTGGTTGGAATGAAAACCTTTAGACAATATACTGTAACTCTTATATTGTAATATTTGCACAAGGTCTGAAATGTTAATATAAAAGCACAATTCCTAATACAGTAGGGTTGTCAAAAAAAGATAAATAAATAGTCAAACAGCCCACTGATCAATGTTTGTAATGACTCCAAAGGCAATACTAGCAGTCAGGTAACGGAAATGGCAACAGAATGCAAAATGAATGACTTCATACAGTAAGTCAGTTAACTCATATTTCTAAAATAAAGGTATTTAAAAAGGGAAATGGCAATCTTTATCAATCTCTGCAATTCTAGTGTAATGCTAACAGTAAAATGGTGTAACCCACTAACTCCCCCTGAACTTTAGGAATGGTATAACCCATTGAAACGTCCTTTACTGTTTGGAAGGAGAGTTGACATTTTCAGCATACTTTCAGGCATTAAATGGGCGAATAGGGTTTTCTGGCAGAGAAATGTGTTCTACATCATCGCTCTCATGAATGCTGAAGTAAAGGTGTAAATAAATAATTACTTCACAGCTTAGTCTTTGGTCCACAGCAGATCTGTGTAAAGCACTCTGTATAATTTGCGGTATGGTATGGTTTGACTAAAACCATATATTGGGTATGATATTATAAAAACATTTGATTTCTGTTCAGTGTCACAAAAGAGCAATACTTGAGTTGAAAAATCCCAAAACAAAATATGTATTTTATGTCTAGATATTCTATATTCTATATGTAAACGTAATAGGGGACAGCCCAGCCGTGGGCTTCATTCATGCCATTAACTGGAATTGGTTGAAGAATATATGTGCTCTTTAACAGTGATATTTAGAGGTGATTGTTGGAGGAAAGAACTAAAAAAAATCCATACAAAGCAGGAAAAATTAGAGCTCGCATCCATTTTAGGGATATAAAATATATGTGTGGGTTTATGTCTTTCCTTTTAATATACAGAAATCAGAGTGGGAGGTGGGGCTGTATGTGAATAATCTCCTTATTAGATCTTATTCAAGTGGGGGAGTGTTGGGGTAAATATTATGTATCTATCTGTTTAATATGTGCTTGATTAAGTCTGTGTGTATGGGAGATCAGGAATTATCTTCAAAGGGAGTTTCTGTTTAGATAGTTGGAAAGATACAGCACCTGAAAGGCACCACTACATCCTTGGGAAAGTTTATCACATTTACATATTAACTGGTCTTCAAAGGAGTTTAGTGAAGCAGTGCTCCCTCTAAGATGAATTCATTGAGAATGGAAGAAGGAATCCGTTTTTATTGCTTTCACGGCTTCACGTCGCCCCTCAGACAAAACGTTGCCTTTACATTGATTTTGCTGCAGTAATTATTTATCATTGCCGTTCTCAGCAGAAAGTCTGTGGCGCTGTAATAAGTCACCGTAATAAAGCAGAAAATAAATGCATTTACTAGACGGGATAGCACCAAGTCTTTCTTCTTCTTACAGCTTGTTCACTAATCTATTTCACTTTGCAGGCGATAGATGTAACCAATGTTCCTGCAGAAGGAGACAAAAGCGGTAAGCAGTCATTGTCAGATTGTTGTAAAAAGAAAATATTCTGAGAAAGAGGTCTACTACCAAGAGACTCAATGCAACTGCTGCTTAATGTCTGCATTGCAAGAGTCATCTTGTTGGAGACACAGAAATTTACACCGAGGGGTACATTGCAAACCCAGCTTCCATAACCAATCAATAGAACGTTATGATTATTGTGCAACAGTAAGCAGTGTGATGACGATTTATGTCACTGTCACAAAAATTGTGATTGTTTTAAATCTGCCCCTAAAACATGATTTGTTTGTTAATCTTCCGATATCAAGTTTGAGAGGCAGATGTCATAAGGTTAGCGAGACAGTAATTGGCGACTTCACATGGGTTTCAATGACATCACAGGCCGACGTGTGTTTATTACTGTGTTAGGGATGTGTTTGTGTGTCTTTTTTGATCACGGAGCAAACACTTAACATATATTTTTGGGTGAATTGTTAGAAAAGCATTTCAAAGTGTTGGATTCCATATCAAGGCTTCTCACTAAAGTCAGAATTGTCAGGTATTCATAGAGAAATTCAGATTAAGGCCAACATGGCTGACACAGCAATTATTACCTTAAATTTTAAATTCACTTTGAATTCACTGTGAATTCCCCACATGTCTCACCTTTGTAAATAACCCAGTGTGAGTCGGAAATTACAATGTCACAAACTCCTCTTCGGCAGGGTCACAAAGAGTTACACATGAAGTGTAGGGTACTTTCTTAGCAATCCGATAATGGTAAAAGTGATGTCTAAAAGTATTAATGGGACTGTGACCGCTTTGACATCATTTACCGCTCAGCGACGGCCATTACATTTTCGATAAAAATTGGACACGAGATTGTAATTCCATCATTGTTAAAGTTATTCATCAAAACTTGAAATGCTGGGAATTCAAATTGAAAAAGTGATTTTCCTGCTTTAGATGTCAGTGGTCAAACTGGAAAATTGTAGTCAGATATGTTTTCAGTTTGGCTTTTTGAAATAATATTTGAAATTCACTTTGAATTTCTGACAATTCAGTATTTAGCGATTAATCCTGTGTCTGTACGTTAGAAAGTATGAAAGTGGAGCAAGGGGTGGGTGGATACGGAAAGTCCCACGTGACGGTCCGTGGGTTTAATGGCATGTTCGTGCTACACTTACTGGAAATGGTAGGACATCGGTTGGGGTTTGGGACTGTCCTGCCAGAAACCGGTCTGTTGGAAAATACCTGCATGCATACATCTTTTTTAAACCTTACCTCATCATGCTATTAATTCAGAGATGCCTTCAGAAAACTCATCTCTACAGGCAAGCTTGGCTTATCTCGGGCTTCGTTTGTTAAACCTGTGTCTCCTAACAGAATGAATCCATTTCACTCTCTCCCTTCACACCACACAGCTTACAGTCACACTATTTCTTCTATTAGATCAGATACTGGCTTTATTCCTGGTGATCTCATCCCCCATGGTCTTATAACTCACTTCCTCTAGACTGTAAGCTCACATGACCCGGCTCTCAGTAATCTCCATAATACGATCTCAGGAAAGCATACCTTACCTGACAAATCTAAGCAGTTGTATTATGTGTGCTGCTGTCTGGAAATGCCATGGACAACAAAGATTGGATTTCTTTTATCACTAACCATTTTTTTTCTTATTTTTCAGGAAATATAACATAACAGGTGTATAGCTGAAAGTTGCCCGAAAAGCCATTTTTTAACACTGACATCAAATATGCCACGGAAATAGCCAAGAATAGTCTGTGTTTGAAGTATTTTAGTTTTTAAACAGATCTTTCTAATAAAATAATAGACATACGTTTCTCGTTTTCTGTGTTGGTCGGTGTAAATTAGAAAGACAAATATCGCCATCTGCTGTCCATGGGAGGCCATGATACTGACTTTACTAAACCGTTCAAGACCTTGGGACTATTTGTTTATCACTATAGTTATATAGTCTTGAAATTTATGTTTGCCAAATTAGTGGATCAGTTATACAGAAAAGGAATCAAGCGATAGGGAGATACAACTCACCAAATCAAGTAAAAAAATAAAATTTAATTTAATCACTGCCATTAAAGGTTTATCTTGCTAATAAATATTGCTTAAAATATTATTGATTTTCAAAAAAATTTAACAATCAATATTATACATAGAGTTTTGATTATTGGATTCAGCAATTCAGTGAGGTTCATGGTGTATAATCCTCCATAAATGGTCTTAATTATATTGACAGCAAAAAGCTGTTGAAAAAATTATTTTTTGACTATTTGCCCACTGGTTAAAAATAATCCTTGGGGGTTAATATGATCTCATAGTATTACAAGGGAGGTTTAAATCCTCCCCTAAACCCCTACTTGCCACACCGGGAGTGGGGGCATGCCTGCTAAATAGCTGTAATAAAAGACTAGTGACCGGACAGCCACCGCTGACCATTCCATAGTAACATACAGGTAGGCCCTTGTACAGGACATTCCGTGCATCAAGTGGGGGCTTTCAGTCTAAAGAATGAGAGTGGACAGGTTAATTATTCATTAAAAAAATAAAGAGGGAACATTGTAGTTCGACTCTAATTAAATAATAAAGCATGCGAAACATAGTGTGCGGTACTGATGGCTAGTCAGTGAGGTTATCGTTAATATGAGCAATGGTGTTAGTGTCCCCCATTGCCCCTACCTGTGGCCAGTCAGTCGGGACTATTATGAAAATGAACCCGGGGGACCTATTGTTCATCAGCCTCCACCTACAGGCAAAGTGTTACTTTTTTTGCATCATTTTTTTCTGATCTTTTTTTTTTTTCTTTTTAAAGTTACAATGGGTCTTAATGATTTTTTTACTTGGCCTTTATTTGGGCTGAAATAAATAATGATATATCTAATGGTAAGTATATATTTTGAACAGGTTTTTGACAGTTTAATAAAGTAAGGGGGGTAGGCAGTTTGTTTTTTTACATGGGATGGCTGGGGATATGGGGACAGTTTTTTTCTGGACAGTTTGGTAATGGCATGTCCACCCCCTTCCATATTTAATAGTAACTCCCACCGGCCACCAATAATTGGGAGCTAGGGGCTTCATTAGGTCCACTTAGTAATAACAATTAGAAACCCCACCCACTACCCATGGGTGGGAGCTTGGGTCAGGACATTAGGTACCCACTATTTTTATTAATTTTAAAGCCCGACTCGGCTGCACAGCGATGGTAACAGGAGAGCCAGGGCCGGCGCTACCTGTTAGGCGGACTAGGCAGCCGCCTAGGGCGCCCCTTAGGAACGGGCGCCGCCAGGAGCGCCGGCCCCCCTCATGCTGCAGCCGCCTGAGTGTACTGTAGAGAGCCTCAGGCAGCTGCAGCTTTGCACACCGCACCGCCCGCGCGCAGCATGATGAGAGGGGATAACAGGAGGGAAGCTTCAGCGCTCCCCCCGTCACTCCCTCACTAGCGTGGCCGAGCTCTGTATGGTCCGTGGGTACAGGGAGCATCTGTCTCCTGTACCCGGCCGGACTAACACTGAGTGTGCACTTCCTTTTAGTCCGGCCGGGTACAGGAAACAAAAGCTCCCTGTACCCGCGGACCATACAGAGCTCGGCCATGCCGAAGGGGGGGAGGAAAGTGGAAGGAGAGGAGGAAGAGAATCGGAGAGAGGTGGAGAGGGGAGAAGAAGGAAATTGGACAGGGGGGAGAAGAAGAAAGGAGAGGGGGGAGAAGGAAATTGGAGAGGGGGAGGAAATTGGAGGGGGAGAAGGGGGAGAGAAGGAAATTGGAGGGGGGGAGGGGGAGAAGGAAATTGACGGGGGGAGGAGATTGACATCCATCACACACACACAATCACATGCAATGCACCCCTTGCACACAGAAAAACACACAATGCATTACACACACAGACACACACACACAAGCAATGCAACCCTTACACACAATGCATCCCTTACACACACAGAAACACACAATGCATTCATTACACACACTCAATGCAACCCTTACATACACTCAATGCATCCCTTACAGACGCACACACTGCATCCCATACATACACAAACACACTTTGCAGCCCTTACACATACAAACACAGATTCGCACAATGCATTCCTTACACACATCAGGACATCCCCTACACACTCCACCCCCTGTGAACAAACTCATTGGTGGAACATGAAGGTGGACCTTGGGACCCAGACCTTGAGCTATGTAAAGGGCCCCCAAAAAATGGAGCTGCTTCCCGTTCTCCCAGAACATTGATTTTTGTGACCACAGTTACAAACCGCCTCCAGAGAGCCTGTTCCAAACCAGACCAGTGGAGCCAGACTGCAGCTAGAGCCCATCATCATCCTCATCTGGTTGTAAGTAGGCAATCTAGTATATTATTAGTGGCACTAATCTCTAATTTACTGCAGCTTAATGTAGTGGTTCTGGTGTCTATAGCCTGTCCCTGCAGGCCTTTTAATGTAAACATGGCGGCACTGCAGCACTGGCGTTAGTTAACATGGCAGATCATATGGGTGGGGCATTGTGATGTCACATGGGAGGGGGGGCAAACTTTACTTTTGCCTAGGGTGGCAAAAATCCTTGCACCGGCCCTGAGGAGAGCACAATAGGTCTCCCCATTTCATTATAATTGTCAACAGGTGTGAGCAGGGGAACAACACTATTATTATTATTACTATTATAAGTATTTATATTGCGCCAGCTTATTCCGCAGCGCTTTACAATAAGAGGTGAATTTAAAGGAGCACTATATGGTCAGGAACACAAACATGTATTCCTGACCCTATAGGGTTAAAACCACCATCTAGCCCCCCTGATCCCCTCATGCCTCCATAAATATAATAAAAATCGTACTGTATTCAAGCCTGAAGCTCCTGGCTTTGTCACTTTTTCCTTTTGACCTGCCCACTGCCTGCTGACATCATCAGAAGTGGTAGCCTGATCCAATCACAATGCTTCCCCATAGGATTGGCTGAGACTGACAAAGAGGCAGATCAGAGGCAGAGCCAGCATGATTCAAACTTCCCTGGCCAATCAGCATCTCCTCATAGAGATGAATTGAATCAATGAATCTCTATGAGGAAAGTTCAGTGTCTGCATGCAGAGGGAGGAGACACTGAATGTTTGGATGCATTTTAGGCAGCCATGACCCAGGAAGGATCTCTAACAGCCATCTGAGGAGTGGCCAGTGAAGTTATCACTAGGCTGTAATGTAAACACTGCATTTTCTCTGAAAAGCAAAAAGCCTGAAAGTAATGATTCTACTCACCAGAACAAATTCAATAAGCTGTAGTTGTTCTGGTGACTATAGTGTCCCTTTAAAGGGACACTATAGTCTCTTGAACAACTTTAGCTTAATGACGCAGTTTTGGTGTATAGAACATGCCCCTGCAGCCTCACTGCTCAATCCTCTGCCATTTAGGAGTTAAATCCCTTTGTTTATGAACCCTAGTCACACCTCCCTGCATGTGACTTGCACAGCCTTCCATAAACACTTCCTGTAAAGAGAGCCCTATTTAGGCTTTCTTTATTGCAAGTTCTGTTTAATTAAGATTTTCTTATCCCCTGCTATGTTAATAGCTTGCTAGACCCTGCAAGAGCCTCCTGTATGTGATTAAAGTTCAATTTAGGGATTGAGATACAATTATTTAAGGTAAATTACATTTGTTTGAAAGTGAAACTAGTTTTTTTTTCATGCAGGCTGTCAAATCATAGCCAGGGGAAGTGTGGCTTGGGCTGCATAAACAGAAACAAAGTGATTTAACTCCTAAATGACAGTGAATTGAGCAGTGAAATTGCAGGGGAATGATCTATACACTAAAACTGCTTTATTTAGCTAAAGTAATTTAGGTGACTATAGTGTTCCTTTAACAAATGAGACGATAACAAAATGTAACAGGAACAATAGGTAGTTAAGGACCCTGCTCAAACGAGTTTACAGTCTAGAGGAGGTGGGGTATAAAAACACATTAGGGAGGGTATTGAGAAAGACAGCAAATAGACATGGTGGGAAAGTAGCAGAACTGGAGGTGAGAGTGGAGTGTGGCCCTTTAGGAGAGAGCGAGAGAAAGGTTTGAGAGATACAAGTTACTCTTGGAGGCCATAAGCAATCGTGAAAAGATGGGTTTTGAGGGACTTCTTAAAGGATTGAAGACTAGGGGAGAGCCCAACAGGGGTAGGCAGGCTGTTTCAAAGGAAAGGAGCGGCCCGTGAGAAGTCTTGCAGGCGTGAATTTGCAGTAAGGGTGCGAGCAGCAGACAGGAGAAGGTCACCAGTAGAGCGGAGAGACCGAGAGGCGGTATACCTATGAATCAGTGAAGAAATGTAAGGGGCTAGAGTTGGTTAGAGCGTTATAGGTTAGGGTTAGTTTTTTAAATTGAGGGACAGGAAACCAGTGTAAGGATCGACAGAGGGTGAGGTGTGAGAGGAGCGGCAGGAGAGAACTGGTTACAAAGTCATGTTTACAAGGCTACCAGAGATACATTCAATGTCTTATTGTTTACGAGTCATGAGTTTTAAAATATTAATGTTTCCTGGTTTTTATACAATGTTGAAATATTTCACAATGATTTCTATTCTGCTTCTCCTCCTGATGTGTTTATCGGCGGCAGTTCTGAGCCTTAGTTCCTGTTTTTGTCTGGAACTGCAGCTTAACCTGCATATTCCACATACTAAGAGTGTAATGGTTTATCTATGATGGGATGTCCGCTCAGCATACTGACATGCTATACCTTCATATTGGATCAATGATCACTGCAACTGAGAAATGAAGGAACGTTCCAACAACATAAGAAATTACGTAAACCTAGACAGAGACGGATTTACCATCTTAGTGGCCATCGAGCTTGTTCTGTCTATTCTCGGTCAGTGAATGTGGAATATCTGCCTACAGATTATTATGTAATTTTAATCTAAATATATTAATAGAAAATATTAAATATGAAGTTAAAGAGGTTTGTTAAAATCAGATTTCGTAAATAAAAACGGAATATTCACAGACAGCGTATTTTATGGAAATTCGAAATTTCCTCATTAAAGGTAAATGATGTCTGTGCGAAAATGGCTGAACTTTGCATAATGAGTGGGTATACATGAACAAATTATTCAGAAACACAGCTATGGGGTATTCATGATGCGCTGACAATACATTTCTGACAATTTCATTATTTTCAAAATAGTAAAAAAAACGATTAATATTGAGCAACGGGTTTCTTTTATTAACAACAAAAATCACTGTGTACATATATATAATTTGTAGAAAAGGACACTCTCTAGTATGCGTGGTTTGAAGTTTCATTAATGCAAAGTTTATCGTGGTCTCCTTAGGGATTATGGACCTAGAAGAAAAAAAAATGAAAAACAGTTATGGATTCCAGTCTCCAAAATGCAAACATCTAAAAAGAGCACAAAATTATGAATCTCAGGAATATTTGAGAAATTAGGTTTAAAATGTAGACAATGACGGGTGTCACCTCCAACACTAACCTAACAGTCAAGTTGGAAACATAAGTACATGATCCTTCTTTGTGTAATGAGAGAGTGCATGTACGTGGTTTATACGATCTTTGATACAACCTCTTGGTTGGCGGCAGGGCTTCAGATGAACTAAACTCTTCCCAAGGTGGGTCTTTTTGGGTGGCTCTACTTAATTCGACCATAACCCACTAAAGCCCACCTATTGATCAGGGAGACTGAACCTATTTTTTGATTTGATCAAAACTTTTCTGGTAGACAGAAAATACTTTAACTTGATTTACTTCTCAAACACCATGTCGATGGGAGACTGACGGGGAACTAGTACTATATGATCCCAGAAATTCATGTCCGGTGCTTTACCATGAAACAATGAAAAAGTCATTACTGTGTGTTCCACAAGCTGTGTGTAACCACCCAATGCATGTATGGTTTGTAAACAATTACAAAACAGGACAACCTGAAAAAAAAAAAAAAAAGGATTTATACTCACCTAATACATTAAATATGCAGAAACTCAACGTAACCAAGCTTGTTAAGAATATACCTTCAACTGATCAAGAAAAAGAGAAAACGTCAAAGAAAGGTGATGTATGAGCAATATTTTATTATTATACATTTACATAAATGTAGGTAAATTTATTTAAATATTAAAAATTATCAAAACAAATATAATATTAGTAATAATAATAATAATAATAATCAAGTATATTATACTATGCGTCATAAATAAGACCATCAAGTTATATAGCAGGGGATTAAAGGGCCCTGTAAATATTTGTTGCCCAGAAACATAACATGCACATAGAGTGAAACTGCTTAGTACTGGTTTTGTCCATATCAGACACGGATTAACAATCAAACACAGCAATTCGCAATTCGCAAGACGTCATTCACGATTAGACGTGCAGTTTCTTTTGTTCTGAATTGAATTCTATCCACATTTTGGCCCACAACTCAGAAGTGTCGGAATTTCCAAATCAATGGAAAATGAAAACAACTGGATCCGTAACAAATGGAGTTAATTAATTTCCATTAATTCTGATCAGGATAACAGATAGGGACGATATCTACTAAAAAACTGAAAGATCAAAATTTAAAAAAGCCCTTTTAAAAATGAACAACATTTTTGGATATTTTTGAATTTTGGACGGAACAAAATTTTAAAATTAACAAACCTTAACAAAACAAATGTTTCCTCTGTTCAGATTTACTGTCTCTTTCTATTTAAATGTATTAAATCACTAGTAATTAAAAAGTACAGCATTAAAAAAACTTTATATAGTAGACTTTTTCACCTTTTTATTTGTTTTCCGTAGTATCACAGTAATTTAAATATATACCTTTAAGGAGATTCCAATCATTGACATCTAAGTAAAGTCAATTTTAATTTAATTTAGAAACATAAGAAGCAGCACATCAAAACACACGTCATGACTAATAGCCTGGTCTAAATGTTTCAAGTGAGAACAGACAGCATATAACTATCAGCCCCAGGACGTCGAGGAGGGGGAAATATCCAGCAGTATGTTGGTCTAATACTCTCACAAAGACAAATGTCATTCTGGACTTGTTTGATTATTATCTGGAACTCACTAAGCAGGTAGTCCACGTCTAAGGGTAATGAAGTCTTGGACTACCTGCTTACTGATCCTAAAGGGGGATCAAGGAACACAAAATGAGGCCAAAACAAATGTCCATGTTGACATGTTTGTTGACTTATTGGATTTTAGATTAAAATGTTGATAATAAATATAAATTGATGCACTAAAAATATATTTATCTATCAAGTATATTTTTATGCATCATTTTTAAAAAATATATTATTTATGATTAGTTTGTATCATCTAAGACTATCCCCTGTTTGTACTCCCACCTCTGATGCCCACCTTCAAGACTTCTCTAGAGCTGGACCGGTCCTGTGGAACTCCCTTACCTTCTCTGTTAAACTCTCACCCAGTCTCCACTCCTTCAAAAAATCATTGAAAACTCACTTCTTCAGGAAAGAATATCAATTAAATGGTCAATAGATTTTCCGCCATGTTGGTAACCCATCCTGCTTCCTCTCCTGCAACTGCGTTATCTAATAAACTAACCCTCGACTGTAAACTATTCTAGTAACCTACTTTTCCCATACATAAAACACATCCTATCCTTTTCACTTAAATCACTATACCCCCTCCCTCTAGAATGTACGTTGATTGAGCAGGGCCCTCAATCCCTCTGTTACTGTGTCACTATACTCCACTCCCTCTAACATGTAAACTCACTGAGCAGGGCCCTCAATCCCTCTGTTACTGTCACTATACCCCACTCCCTCTAACATGTAAACTCACTGAGCAGGCCCTCAGTCCCTCTGTTACTGTGTCACTATACCCCACTCCCTCTAACATGTAACCTCACTGAGCAGGGCCCTCAATCCTTCTGTTACTGTGTCACTATACCCCACTCCCTCTAACATGTAAACTCACTGAGCAGGGCCCTCAATCCCTCTGTTACTGTGTCACTATACCCCACTCCCTCTAACATGTAAACTCACTGAGCAGGCCCTCAATCCCTCTGTTACTGTGTCACTATACCCCACTCCCTCTAACATGTAAACTCACTGAGCAGGGCCCTCAATCCCTCTGTTACTGTGTCACTATACCCCACTCCCTCTAACATGTAAACTCACTGAGCAGGCCCTCAATCCCTCTGTTACTGTGTCACTATACCCCACTCCTCTAACATGTAAACTCACTGAGCAGGGCCCTCAATCCCTCTGTTACTGTGTCACTATACCCCACTCCCTCTAACATGTAAACTCACTGAGCAGGGCCCTCAATCCCTCTGTTACTGTGTCACTATACCCCACTCCCTCTAACATGTAAACTCACTGAGCAGGCCCTCAATCCCTCTGTTACTGTGTCACTATACCCCACTCCCTCTAACATGTAAACTCACTGAGCAGGGCCCTCAATCCCTCTGTTACTGTGTCACTATACCCCACTCCCTCTAACATGTAAACTCACTGAGCAGGCCCTCAATCCCTCTGTTACTGTGTCACTATACCCCACTCCCTCTAACATGTAAACTCACTGAGCAGGGCCCTCAATCCCTCTGTTACTGTGTCACTATACCCCACTCCCTCTAACATGTAAACTCACTGAGCAGGCCCTCAATCCCTCTGTTACTGTGTCACTATACCCCACTCCATCTAACATGTAAACTCACTGAGCAGGCCCTCAATCCCTCTGTTACTGTGTCACTATACCCCACTCCCTCTAACATGTAAACTCACTGAGCAGGGCCCTCAATCCCTCTGTTACTGTGTCACTATACCCCACTCCCTCTAACATGTAAACTCACTGAGCAGGCCCCTCAATCCCTCTGTTACTGTGTCACTATACCCCACTCCCTCTAACATGTAAACTCACTGAGCAGGGCCTCAATCCCTCTGTTACTGTGTCACTATACCCCACTCCCTCTAACATGTAACTCACTGAGCAGGCCCTCAATCCCTCTGTTACTGTGTCACTATACCCCACTCCCTCTAACATGTAAGCTCACTGAGCAGGCCCTCAATCCCTCTGTTACTGTGTCACTATACCCCACTCCCTCTAACATGTAAACTCACTGAGCAGGCCCTCAATCCCTCTGTTACTGTGTCACTATACCCCACTCCCTCTACATGTAAACTCACTGAGCAGGCATGCTAACATGTTCACTGAGCAGGCCCTCAATCCTCTGTTACTGTGTCACTATACCCCACTCCCTCTAACATGTAAACTCACTGAGCAGGGCCCTCAATCCCTCTGTTACTGTGTCACTATACCCCACTCCCTCTAACATGTAAACTCACTGAGCAGGGACCTCAATCCCTCTGTTACTGTGTCACTATACCCCACTCCCTCTAACATGTAAACTCACTGAGCAGGCCCTCAATCCCTCTGTTACTGTCACTATACCCCACTCCCTCTAACATGTAAACTCACTGAGCAGGGCCTCAATCCCTCTGTTACTGTGTCACTATACCCCACTCCCTCTAGAATGTACCCTTATTTAGCAGGGCACTTCACCCCTCTGTTTCTGTGTGTCCAACTCGTCTAGTTACAAATACGTGTCCGTTAGTCCTCTTATTTTACAGCACTGCAGAATTTGTTGGCAATTTATAAATCATAATAATTATAATATGGCACACAGTTGGTTGCAACAGAGAGCTAAATGCATACTCGAGAGTTAAAAGTGTTAAACATTTCTTTTACCTTATTTGTATTAATTCAGATAGATTTTTTTTGTTGATTAAAAAGTGATCTAATTTTTGTCAGTGTTGTTAATAATAGAGTAGAAAGTCAGTCATTTCATTGTATTATACCCACAGAGGATTTACACAGGTAAATCAGTCCAACTCACCATATTTAATGGCTGAATTATTCATCACAGCTGTAACAGAAAACACAAATTAAAACAATTATAAAAAAATAATTAATTCACAGGCTAACAACGCACTGGGCCATTTCAATGTGAGACATCATCAGAAATGTATCTTACTGCTTAATATCTTTACACCAGGCAATTTACTGAATATTTTTGTAGATCTTCGTTTGAAGAACCAAACATTTGCATCCTATGTCCATGCTGCTAGGCTCAGTGTATAATTACTGTATCATAATAGAGTCCTAACCTCAACATCTGAGGAAAGGGGTTTAGGGGTAATTACTTCTGATGACTTAAAGGTAGGCAGACAATGTAATAGAGCAGCAGGAGATGCTAGCAGAATGCTTGGTTGTATAGGGAGAGGTATTAGCAGTAGAAAGAGGTAAGTGCTCATGCCATTGTACAGAACACTGGTGAGACCTCACTTGGAGTATTGTACACAGTACTGGAGACCGTATCTTCAGAAGGATATTGATACCTTAGAGAGGGTTCAGAGAAGGGCTACTAATCTGGTTCATGGATTGCGGGATAAAACTTACCAGGAAAGGTTAAAGGATCTTAACATGTATAGCTTGGAGGAAAGACGAGACAGGGGGGATATGATAGAAACATTTAAATATATAAAGGGAATCAACACAGTAAAGGAGGAGACTATATTTAAAAGAAGAAAAACTACCACAACAAGAGGACATAGTCTTAAATTAGAGGGACAAAGGTTTAAAAATAATATCAGGAAGTATTACTTTACTGAGGATGCATGGAATAGCCTTCCAGCAGAAGTGGTAGAGGTTAACACAGTAACGGAGTTTAAGCATGCGTGTGATAGGCATAAGGCTATCCTAACTATAAGATAAGGCCAGGGACTAATGAAAGTATTTAGAAAATTGGGCAGACTAGATGGGCCGAATGGTTCTTATCTGCCGTCACATTCTATGTTTCTATAATAAAATGGCGCAGAGAAACGTCATTCTCACAGGCAGTAGATCAGAGGTTTGGGTAAGGGAAGTGAAAATATTAAGCAGAGAGGCAGCTGTATAGAGTACAGACACAGCTGTCAAACAGTGTTGGTAAACTAAGCATCTTCGTTGGAAATAAATTAAAACGTGAAGACTGCTGTGATAAATGGAGATAATGGCGTGGGACAAGGGGTATTTGACTGTGATTAGACCTGTTAATAATGGAGGATAACTAAAGACATATTTCTCAAACACACCAGCAGGGTTATTTACTAAGTTAGAATTGTTTGGAATTCAAGGTGAATTTCAAATTTAAAGCCAAAATTGCTGAAATTAAACAAATCTCAGGGCCAGTTCTGTTTTCAGTTTGCTGAATTTGGCTTTGAATTTGAAATTTACTTTGAATTCACTTTGGTAATTAACCTGAATATCTCCATGATTCCAGTGTGGAATGTGGCATTAAGAGCTGATTCTTTATTACTGCAAACCAAACCAGATTAGAGGTTTATATTCATTTACCTATATCTAGACATTTGTAAATATCGGCTGACCAAACAGTGATTCCATTTCCCAGATTGTTTATTTAGGACTCAATCTTGTGATGTTCTTGCAATTCAGGTGTAATTTCATTAAAATTCACTTTTTAGGGTTTGTTTTGTAAAGTGAGAATTCACAGTAAATTCAATGTTAATTTTAAATTTAAGGTCAAAATAAGGGACTTGGAAAAATTCTTTAATAGTGATGTCCCGAACTGTTCGCCGAACGGTTTGCCACGAACGGTTCGCCACGGACTCATCATTGAGTAAACTTTGACCCTGTACCTCACAGTCAGCAGACACATTCCAGCCAATCAGCAGCAGACCCTCCCACCTCCTGGACAGCTCACAGTGAAGCAGCATTCAAAATGGATGCTGTCCAGGAGGTGGGAGGGTCTGGGAGGGTCTGCTGCTGATTGGCTGGAATGTGTCTGCTGACTGTGAGGTACAGGGTCAAAGTTTACTCAATGATGAGTCCGTGGCGAACTGTTCGTGGCGAACCGTTCGCGAACCGTTCGGCGAACAGTTCGGGACATCACTATTCTTTAAGTCAGCAATGCTTGCAGGTCAGCTACTCTGGCATGAAATTTAAATTCTGTTTGAATTCTCCCTTTTAGTACATAATGCCAGGAGTGTATAAATCCTTAACAAGGTTGTTAGTCTCGCAAAGCCAACAAATATAATTAATACTCACAGCTGTCTTTTAGAAAACGATCACCTAGTTAGGAAACATAACCATCATTTCTATTATTCATTGATAAAGAGCCGAACCACTCTGAAAATATGTGTCATCTGTAGATATAACGTAAGTTTGTTTGTCCCACATGTACCAAGTGTCCCTATTTAAAAGGGACAGTCCCTATTTCCAGCACAACTCACTCTATTCCTCTTTTCTCTCCCTCTTTTCTGGACAAAAAGGAGAGGGTTTGTCATAGCTGCACCATCTAGTGTTGCTGTTAATATAAACTTTTAATATAATGAAATATAATTTAATATAATTTTTTGCTAAGTCCACCCTCCAAAACATTAAATGCAGGTTTTTCTTGGGTTATAATCTACTAAATGGTTAAAATATTTGCATTTTTTGTATGGTTTGTTTCTGTAAAACAAATGATGTGATGTTCGGTTTTCTTTTGTGTCAGGGTACATATTGCATTGGAGAGGGAGAAAGCTCATCAGCGGGGCTCTGGAATCCAAGACACCCCTCTAACAATTTAGGGCAATAACAATATAATGTTATGAAGCACTAACGATGCATATAAATTGAATAAGAGTAATCGAGTGATGCTGGATCGGACATTTTGTAGAATTCATTTTCTTTAATTTGATATTTATATTATACTATGATATGTTTAGTTAGGACAAAGTATTGTCCGGTAACTGTCACCATTGTGTGTCTTTATGGTGTTAAAGTGACAGTACACGCAATGCTATAATGCAGAAAAGGGTTAAAGGAAACAATGTTAGCATTCTTTTATGTTATAAATACACTCAGATTCCAGAAGTATGAATCAGAAAAAAAACAAACAAACAGAAAAATGTATGAAGCTAACTTGGAATTAAATCTTGTGTTTACTCACTTGAGGTTTCTTCAGATCCAGAACCACTTTCATTATCTGTAGGATCTAACACCAAATATATCAGTTAAAGAATTTGAGGACAGGGCCAGGCTGGACTGTTACTTAATACAATGAGAGGGAGATACAGAGAGTGACACAAAAAGCGAGAGAGAGAGACACACACACAAAGAGAGAAACACACAAAGAGAGAGAAAAATTCAATCAGAGAAACACAATCAGAGAGAAACACAAACAGAGAGAAACACAAACAGAGAGAAACACAAACAGAGAGAAACACACAATGAGAGAGAAACACACAGAGAGAGAAACACACAAAGAGAGAGAAACACACAAAGAGAGAGAAACACACAAAGAGAGAAACACAAACAGAGAGAAACACAAACAGAGAGAAACACAAACAGAGAGAAACACACAAAGAGAGAGAAACACAAAGAGAGAGAAACACACAAAGAGAGAGAAACACACAAAGAGAGAAACACACAATGAGAGAGAAACACACAGAGAGAGAAACACACAAAGAGAGAGAAACACACAAAGAGAGAAACACACAATGAGAGAGAAACACACAGAGAGAGAAACACACAAAGAGAGAGAAACACACAAAGAGAGAAACACAAACAGAGAGAAACACAAACAGAGAGAAACACAAACAGAGAGAAACACAAACAGAACAAAACACAATCAGAGAGAAACACAGAGAGAAACACACAAAGGGAGAAACACACAAAGAGAGAGAAACACAGAGAGCAACACAAACAGAGAGAAACACAAACAGAGAGAAACACACAAAGAGAGAAACACAATCAGAGAGAAACACACAAAGAGAGAAACACAAACAGAGAGAAACACAAACAGAGAGAAACACACAAAGAGAGAAACACAAACAGAGAGAAAACAGAGAGAAACACACAAAGAGAGAGAAACACACAAAGGGAGAAACACACAAAGGGAGAGAAACACACAAAGAGAGAGAAACACACAACGAGAGAAACACACAAAGAGAGAGAAACACAAACAGAACAAAACACAATCAGAGAGAAACACAGAGAGAAACACACAATGAGAGAGAAACACACAAAGGGAGAAACACACAAAGGGAGAGAAACACAGAGAGCAACACAAACAAAATAACACAATCAGAGAGAAACACAATCAGAGAGAAACACAATCAGAGAGAAACACAAACTGAGTTATTCACTAAAGTAAGAATTCAATGTTACTGAATTGGAAGCAGGTGACGTAGAGATTTTTTCCAGTTTGACTGTTTTGACTTTAAATTTGAAGTGAATTGAAGTCTCACTTCAGTGATAACCTTGAAAGAGAGAGAGAGAGGGAGCAACAAAGAGAGAGAGAGAGAGCAACAAAGAGAGAGAGAGAGCAACAGAGAGAGAGAGCGAGCGAAAGAGACAGAGAGAGCGACAGAGAGAGAGAGAGAGAGCAACAAAGAGAGAGAGAGAGCAACAAAGAGAGAGAGAGCAACAGAGAGAGAGAGAGAGAGCAACAGAGACAGAGAGAGAGAGAGCAACAAAGAGAGAGAGGGAGAGAGCAACAGAGAGAGAGAGCAACAGAGACAGAGAGCGAGAGCAACAAAGAGAGAGAGAGCAACAGAAAGAGAGAGAGAGAGAGAGAGAGAGCAACAGAGAGAGAGAGAGCAAACAAAGAGAGAGAGAGAGCAACAGAGAGAGAGAGCAACACAGAGAGAGAGAGCAACAAAGAGAGAGAGAGCGAGAGAGAGAGAGAGCAACAGAGAGAGAGAGAGCAACAGAGACAGAGAGAGAGCAACAAAGAGAGAGAGAAACAGAGAGAGAGAGCAACAGAGACAGAGAGAGAGAGCAACAAAGAGAGAGAGAGACAGAGAGAGAGAGAGCAACAGACAGAGAGAGAGCAACAAAGAGAGAGAGAGAGAGCAACAGAGAGAGAGCAACAGAGACAGAGAGAGAGAGCAACAAGAGAGAGAGAGAGCCGAGAGAGAGAGAGAGCAACAGAGAGAGAGAGCAACAGAGAGAGAGAGAGAGCAACAAAGAGAGAGAGAAACAGAGAGAGAGAGCAACAGAGACAGAGAGAGAGAGCAACAAAGAGAGAGAGAGAGAGAGAGCAACAAAGAGAGAGATAGAGAGCAACAAAGACAGAGAGAGAGCAACAGAGACAGAGAGAGAGAGCAACAAAGAGAGAGAGAGCAACAGAGAGAGAGAGAGCAACAAAGAGAGAGAGAGAGCAACAAAGAGAGAGAGAGCAACAAAGAGAGAGAGAGAGAGCAATAGAGAGAGAGCAAGAGAGAGAGAGAGCAACAGAGACACAGAGAGAGAGAGAGAGCGCAACAAAGAGAGGCAGTACAGAGAAAGTAAAAGGAACAGATAATTATAGTTCAATAAACCTGAATCTTCTTCACTAAAATAAATCAATACAAAGTTATAGTATTAATATTATTATTCTTACATTGTTACATTTTCTTTTACAGTGTTACAGTTTATTTTTTAGTGTTATAGTTTTATTTTACAGATTTAGTTTTTATTTTACAGTGTTACAGTTTATTTTAGTAAACAATAAGGAAGGGAGACAGGAGAATGGACAGGATAAATGACAGAGTGTCCTGCAGAGTGGTAGTTGCCTCGTTAGTTTTGTTAGTGTTACAGTTTTCTTTAAGTGTTAGTTTGTTTTTGTTTTTTACAGTGTTAGAGTTTTGCATTTTAATTGCTACAAAGGTGATTACATTCCTGGTTTTGTTGCTTGTCTTGGGTGACACAATGTTCTATAGATAAAGATTTATTTTTAAAAAAATGTCACTGTCTGGACAAAGGTGTCATTTCTAGTGACCAGTGAGAATTCAGAAACTTTGTTTTAGTTCGGTATTATATAGATTATATAATTTGGTGGCTGTATCACTGACCCAATTAGCATGAATTATCTTTCCCTTTACTTAATTTAATCTGCCCCTTTAGAGGGGTGTGATTCTACCCAATCAGTTCTGACCTCGTATTAGAGGTTTTAGAACTCATTCACTAAACTATGACTTGGAACATTTTTCTAATGTGTCTGCCTTGGCCAAGAATTAGAAATTAGTCTGGAAGTTAATTTGGATGCTCTGTAGAAAGAAAAAATAGATACATGCTATACTATTATGTATCTATTTTGCAGTATAAAGTACTAATTGGACAATTTTTATGTCTTTTTTGATCAATATTCAGACAAGCCAAGTCACCCACATGGATGACTATCAGACTACACAAACTACGTTTTATTTTCAGACGAAGTGACTAACCAAATACCATGCAAAGTCTATCAGTAAATATAAAAGGTGGATATCTCAAATGAAGGAAGCCCAATTATTATGTTGTTACTGTAATTAATATTTAAGCGCAACTTCTTCAATTTTACTTTATCAGATTACACCTTGGCATACATAGTTATATTAATGCAAACAATGAAGACAATTAAATGGTTAAAAAAATAATCATCTGTATAATGTTTCAGCAAAAAACAAACAAACATTTCTAGTATACAATTCAATAGAATAAATATTGATATTTTTATTTATTTTAACCTTAACACTATCAGAGTTAAAGAGATTAAGCCCGATGCATTTTAATGGACAATTAATGTACAGGTCACTTTGCACCGTGATCAGCATTTGATATGATCGTAATGGCTGCCGAGGACAGATGTTTGGCCCACGTGTGACATGTCGTGTTTTATGTTTGGGATATACTTAGCACACATCTCTTGGTATCTGTATTTTAAAAACTGTCCCCTTGCTGGTGCATTCCTTCTCTCTGTTATTTTGCCAGATTTTATGAATTATGGGAGAATACCAGGACCGACTCTCTAGTAATTAATATGTTTATTCTGAATAGGGATGGATAATGTTAATTAAACTATTATTGATAATGTGTCATTATTACAGTCACTGACCAGACAAGCCATTGGATCTTCCACTGTCTTCATCGTCTTCACCTGGATCCATGGCTGCTGTTAGGGAAAAAACAAAATAAGGGTATGCATACATAAGGGGTATGTATACATAAAGGCCAGGGAAGGGATTGTGTGTGTGTGTGTATATATATATAAATGAGGGTAATAAGGAATGTATATATAAAGGCTAGAGATTGAATGTACATATAAGAAGAATGTGCATACAAGGGTTTGACTGTGAATATATCTCACTTGCAGACTTTAACATGGGTTTATTCCTTTATTCTATCAACCAATCTTAAAACAGCAGAGTCAGGATTTCTGTCGGAACATTCTGAAAATCCTGAGGTCCTGAAGAAAGTTCCGATCAGAACTGAAACATTGACACTGCTGTTTTAACCTTGTTTGATTGAATAAAGAGAGAAATCCATTGAAACGTCAGCGAATGAGATATACGTTGGATATTTATACTGTGTATGTCTAAAGGGACACTATAGTCACCAGAACAACTACAGCTTATTGCATAGTATACAGCTTATTGTACAGTATACAGCTTAATGTACATTATACAGCTTATTGTATTGTATACAGCTTATTGCATAGCATACAGCTTATTGTAGAGTATACAGCTTAATGTACATTATACAGCTTACTGTATTTGTTCTGGTGAGTATAATCATTCCCTTCAGGCTTTTTGCGGTAAACACTGTTTGTTTCAGAGAAAATGCAGTGTTTACATTACAGCCTAGGGATACCTCCACTGGCCACTCCAGTAGAGGTGCTTCCTGGGGCAATGCTGCACAGTGTGACTGACATTCAGTGTCTCCACCCTCTGCATGCAGACACTGAACTTTCCTATGTTGATTGGCTCCTATGGAGATGCTGATTGGCCAGGGCTGTGTTTGAATCATGCTGGCTCTGCCCCTGATCTGCCTCCTTGAAAGTCTCAGCCAATCCTATGGAGAAGCATTGTGATTGGCTCAGACCACCATTTCTGATGATGGCAGACAGGAGCAGATCAGAGGGAGACAGGGGCAGAGCCAGCAGCTACAGACTTAAATACAAGTAAGATTTTACTATATTTCGGAAGGCAAGGGGGAGCCAGGGAGGATAGGTGGTGTTTTAAACACTATAGGATCAGGAATACATGTTTGTGTTCCTAACCCTATAATGTTCCTATATTCATCTAGACCCACAACACATTCCTAACAGAGCAGAGTGCTGGTCCATTTGGGTTTGGGTTATAGTATATATATGGAATGAGGAGAAAGTATATATACATATAAAGGGGCAAAGATTTCTTAGAAATATAGTAAATGCGTCTGTTCTAAAATTAGTTCCCATTAACCTTTTACTCACCCATTAGTGATGGGAATAAGCTCAGCACTACAATCCCAACCAGGAGTCTGTGAATAGAGGAGCTTACTGTCAGATATACACAGGCTCACTGAGCACACAAAGCCAGATACGGCCCTACCTAAAAAGATTCTCTAGGCTGTATCTGACCTCTCTGTCAGTCTGTCCATCATTAAAACGCAAACTGTCATTAATATGTATGGATTAAAACATATTAGTCCATAAAGTTTCTGCATTTTGGATTACATTTCAGAAAATACAGGTTCTTCAGTGAGTTCTCAAATTGCCACATACATAGAGGTACACACTAATAGACATTCATGTACACACAAATACACACAATTACTATTACAATAATTGATACAGCACCAACATATTCTGTAGCACTGTACAATAGGTAAACAAGACAAACACTAAATTCTAACAAAACATGATTGACATACTGAAACAGTAGATGATGAGCTTTCAATCTAAAAAGATGATCGAGAAATACTCAAAGGGAAAGAAGTGATCTATATTTACTGAGAGATAAAGTGCATGGGAGGGTGGAGGGAGCACTGTAGGGGGGAGATGGCAGAGAGTTGGTATACTTAAAGTAATGTGTTTTTAAGCATTTTTTTTGAAGGACTGCAGAAAAGGGTCATTCAATAAGCTGAAGGAAACCCTAGAGAAGTCCTGCAGATGAGAGTCTGGGGTACAAGTGCAAGAACGGGTCAGTAATTGGTCGTCAGTGGAGAGAAGAGGCCATGCTGCTAATGATTGAGGAGACACTGTTATGGAGAGCTTTGAAAGTAAGCGTGAGAATTTTGAACCGTATCCTAAATTGCACAGGAAGCCGGTGTAGAGGCCCACAGGGACGTAATATGTGAGAGTTGCAGGATGTAAGGTAGATGAGTCTGGCCAATGCATTCATTATGGACTGTAAAGGAGTAATCTGCGCACTTTTCAGGCCAGCAAGTGGAAAACAAAGAGAGCATGGACAAGTGTCTTACTGTCAGGATTACACAATGATGAAGCACGTAGAATTGTGTAACACAGAGGACTGATAGGTAACGTATACCGGACCTTAGAGTGGCCGGACTAACGTACCAAAGAATAGTCAGGAATAGCCGAGGTCAAGGGAAACAGAAAGAGACACAACGATAAGAAAAAGCCAGGAGTCAGGGATCCAGAAAACAGGGAAGTCAAAAACAATGCCAAAGTCAAATAACCAGAATTACCAGAATCAATAACGCGCTCTTGGAAAACCACAAGGGAAACCACGACAGGGCACTGAGCAGGCTGAGAACTGGGCCTAAATACCCCTCCTCTAGATCTGATAGGCTGTAACCAGCCTTTGACCCAAAAGGCAGTTACCAGGTTTCCATTTGCATAATGGCTGCTCAGCATTAACCCTTCTGTGGATTTGGTTGCTGCTCGGCACAACTTTTCATGTGTGGACAGTAAATGCCATTAACCACATTTTTATAAGCGGATGAATACGTGACACTTACCTGCGTACTGCGTGAGAATAGAGAGAAGACAAGAAATGTTTTTAAGGTAAAAGGGACAGGATTTGGTGATATATTTTATGCAAGGGGTGAAGGAGAGTCAGAGTCAAATAGCATGCCATGGCAATGTACCTGGATACCGTGGCGTACCTACTACAGTCGCAGGGGTCGCAACTGTGACCGGGGCCGTCACTCCAGGGGGCCCGGCCACAACGGCAACCCCTGTAACTGTGGGCCACCACAACTTCAGGGCCGCAGGTGCTGGGTGACCGGCGGGAGGGGAGCGCTGTGCTGCTCCCCTCCTGCTGGTCTCTCTGTGTGTAGCTTGGCCGAGCAGCACGGCTGACAGGAACTGCTTACTGAGAGAGCACTTCCTGTTAGACTGGGTACCGCTCGACCACGCTACACACAGACATAAGGTACAGGGGAAGAGTGGGGACAGAGGGATTGAGTTCTGGATGGGGGGGAGTGAGGGGGCTTTATGAGGGATGAAAGGGGTGGTGAGAGAGGGATTAAGGGCTGGATGGTGGTGAGAGAGAGGGCTTGGATGGGAGGGTGAAGAGGGCTAATGAGGGTTAGATTGGGTCAATGGGGGGTTAATGAGGGCTGGATGGAGGATGAGGGGGTTAATGAGGACTGGAAGGAGGATGAAGGGGTTAATGAGGAGTTTATGATGGCTGGATGTGGGTGAGGGAGTTAATGAGGGCTGGATGGGGTGAGGGGGTTAATGAGGGCTGGATGGGGGTGAGAGATGGAGTGAGGGCTGGATGTGTGGTGAGGGGGGATAATGAGGGCTGGATTGATAGTAAGGGGGGTTAATGATGGCAGAGTGGGGGACAAAGTTGGTTAATGAAGGCTCGATGGGAGGTGAGAGGAAATGAGGCAAATTGAGAGGTGGAGAAATTAGACAAATGGAGGGGCTGGGGTAGGAGTGAGGAAATGTGCCATGGAGTAGCTAAGAGGGAGAGAATAAGACTCGTGGAGGGGCTGGGAGAAGGAAAGGAGACACATGGGGGGGGGAAAGGAAATTAGACACATGGAGGAGCTGACACAAAGACACAAAGCTTGTACACCTCCAAGGCCGGTCCTGGGCATAAGTGCAGAAATAGTGCACATAGAAGGAAGATACTATCTGTGGAGGAAGCCAGGAAGAGAATAGGACAATTGACAGGAGAAGCAAACTTATTTTCTGTTGTTGTCAATCTGATCAGTGAGGTAGGATGCAAAATTGACAGCCGTGAGATACGGGAGGCAGTGTTAGGTGCATGTGTGAATTAGAAGTATGAAAGAGGCATTTGGGGGTCATGGGAGAAGGTGGACATGAGTGAGGTCAAGTCTGTTTGTTTGGCCATAGAGGGTGCAGGTGTAGGAATTCAACAGAAATTTGTAGTGCAGGTAGTCAGCCATACTGTGAGACTTCCTTCAGTGACTTTCCTCGAGAATCTCTGGAGGTATCAGGTGGAATTGGTATGCCAGTATTGGAATTTGTATTGACGGACAGGGAGGACAGTGTTAGGACATAGTTTATCTAGGGTACTTGAGAGGGTAGAGTTGTAGAGAGTAGTTACTAGTTTAGAAGGACATTGGACATCTGAGAGGGGAGAAGCTGGATGTTGATAGAAAGTCACAGGAGATCAAGGGATGTCATGTATCCATTCAGTCAAGATGTGGCACGTGACGTAAGGGTGGTTGGGCTGGAAACAACTGCCGCTTAGGAGGTGGCCATCAGAGAGAGGTAAGAAGGTAAGATCTAAAGTGTTGCCAACTTGATAAGTAGGGAAATTGGACCAGTCTATGAGTCCCTTTGAGGAGGTTTTAGAGAGGAATTTAGTTGGTGCATCTCCAGAGCTATTAAAATCTCCAGGAATAATAGATGGAATGCCAGAGGAAAGGAAGCGAGGGGAGCAATGCAGAGAAGAGTTCCAGGAAGGAGAAGGGTTTCAAATCTATTTAACACCTGATTTAACCACAGGAGTTTATGATACTTATTGAAATAAACAGTAATTAATAATAACCATTTCATTAATCTGCCCTAAAAAAGTAGACACTTGGCAGCAGAATTGCAAACTGAAAATAAATTGTGAAATAATGGGTTGGAAATCAGCTGGATTGGTACGTTTCCGTTTTAGCTATTTTGGTTTAAACGTAGCTTACAATTTGCAGGTTCCATCTGACGCACCTGCTTTAAAGTCTTTGAATTAGCTGGTTGAAGAAACAAAGAGATGAATAATTAATTATAAATATATATGTATCAAAACCGTTTGGATCCAGTCCTTTAAGAAGTACAGGGATACCATGGGGAGTCTCTAGTGAACAGCTAAGAATCACAAAACAATCCTCTACATTAACATCATAGGTAAACCTGTTAGGAGACCCAGATGTTTCTTTTTGCCCCCCCCCCCTCCTCCTCCATGCACATCTTGAAGATCGACTTACTTGTGTCTTGTTTGAAGAGTCATTGTGAACCTCAGACTGTTCCAGGCACTTCCTTATATATAGAGCATTCTGTGTCTGTGGTCTACCGATGAAGCACTGTCATTAGCAACGCTCAGACATGATATAGTAATAAAAACAGGGTAACTAGCTACACAGCCAGCATCGATGACAGATTTATTTTAAAATAGCTGTGATCTAGTAAAATGATTATCAGAGTGAAATAAAACCAATGTGCTATCATAATACAAGGAGTGAGACGTTCAGTGTTTAGAAACCAATCTATTCCTCTGTTATGGCTGGTTAAAGCTGTGGTAATGCCAATCACAGCTGGGAAACACCAGACCAGCTTACCAGAGAGTGCCACAGGACACGTAATGGTATAGAGCTGCTTAAAGGAACACTATAGTGCTAGGAATACAAAGCCGTATATCTAACATTACAGTGTCCCTCGGCCCCCTTCCTCGCGCCCCCCCTCCCGCAGGCAAATAAAGGGTTAATAACCGTATATCTAACATTACAGTGTCCCTCGGCCCCCTTCCTCGCGCCCCCCCCTCTTCGCAGGCAAATAAAGGGTTAATAACCGTTTTTTCACTTACCAGATTCCAGGTCCAATGTCCCATTTCCTTCTCTGCTGAGAGCAGCTCATGGGGAGAGACCATAATGCGCATGTGTGGCGAGTACCCCACGCAAATTACGCCTTCCCCATAGAGAAACATTGACGATGCATTCCGATGGGGGATTTTACAGATGCTGGACATCCTTGAAACAGCAGGAAGCGTCTCTAGTGGTCTGTCTGGAGGCAGTCTTAGCAATGCATTGTAAACATTGCAGTCTGGCTAAGGGCTAAGAGGTACATGGACACTGCACCCAGTCCACTTTAAAGGACCACTATAGTGCCAAGAAAACATACTCGTTTTCCTGGCACTATGGTGCCCTGAGGGTGCCCCCACCCTCAGGTGCCTATAGTGGTCCTTTAATGAGATAAAGTGGTCTGGGTGCCTATCTACTACCCTTTCTATATCACTGTTACTGCTCCCACTGGAAGGCTGTTCCAGGTATCTACTACCCTTTCTATATCACTGTTACTGCTCCCACTGGAAGGCTGTTCCAGGTATCTACTACCCTTTCTATATCACTGTTACTGCTCCCACTGGAAGGCTATTCCAGGTATCTACTACCCTTTCTATATCACTGTTACTGCTCCCACTGGAAGGCTATTCCAGGTATCTACTACCCTTTCTATATCACTGTTACTGCTCCCACTGGAAGGCTATTCCAGGTATCTACTACCCTTTCTGTATCACTGTTACTGCTCCCACTGGAAGGCTATTCCAGGTATCTACTACCCTTTCTATATCACTGTTATTGCTCCCACTGGAAGGCTATTCCAGGTATCTACTACCCTTTCTATATCACTGTTGCTGCTTCCACTGGAAGGCTATTCCAGGTATCTACTACCCTTTCTATATCACTGTTACTGCTCCCACTGGAAGGCTATACCAGGTATCTACTACAATTTCAGAAATGCAGCATTTCCCCACAATAATGTTCACTTTTTTAGAAACAGTTGGTAAGTTCTTCCTAATAAATAAAGACGTGCATCCACCGTCATGCTGTAACTCCCATTAGAACACTAAACAGCCAGTGGATGCAGCAGGCAATGTTTCTGTATGTGTTTCTGGTTTAGATAAAAGATTAATTGCAGGAATCAGGAAATATATAATAGATTTGATCTCTATATGTTTATACTCAATAGATCTAATCTGTATGTGTATATTTGCAGCTGCAGTACGAGCACAATGCAAATAAACGTTAAAGAAGTAATTGTCTCTGTAAAGCTGAGCACACGACAGTAACAAGACGGACAGCGACAAACAAAGGTTTTGTCTCCGAAAGCAGCGGCTGTTTCGTAAGATCTCCCACATGAAGCAGAGTAGGGTTGAAGCAGTTTAAAGAAAGAAACGTTCCATTATGTCAGCATCAGCCGCGAGGGGGAGTTAAGCAGGTTAATATCCCCCCAAGTGCCAAATAATAGCCTCATGTGATGGTTTATTGTACTGTGCCGTCTATGAATGTCTAATTACAGCGTTTATTTATTACAAACATGTTGTGGTCGTTGGTTTAGTTGTGGTAGTGGAGGATATGACAACAAAAATACAAAACTTAAAGAAACCAGATGTGAATTCAATCAATTCGTGGCTGGTTAATTAACTCTGCGGTGGTACCTGTGTCTTCGGGGTTTAACACAACGTGTGTTTAACAACCAGGAAAATGTGCAGTTTAAGCAGAGAGGAAAGGAGGCAAGAACGCTAAACAATGTTATAGGAACGAGGCCAGGTGCAGGATTTATTGCGAATCTTTAATTATCCTTTAAAGCCTTCAAGACTTTGCCAGTTAAACCCGGTTTACCTCACCCTTTCCTCTAGGGCTGGTCTTAAACAGTGGAGACTTGGTCTCAAGTCATTTGATATCCCTCCCATTCATTAAGAACAATGGCCAATACGGCTCATATTGCGGGAAGGAGGAATCGAGTTATGCAATGCCCTATATGATAAGGACACTTTGATTTATTATAGCATGCCTGCATTCTGATTTTATTTAGAAATGATTTTGTGGAAAGTCACACAAACAATGATCATGATATCGAATACGTTCATGGATCTAGTTTGTTTTGTTCGGGCTCTGTGTGAGAGCATTCTTTCTCTCAAAAATTACTTTTTGGATTATTCACTGAAGTGTGATTGTTGTAAATTCAAAGTACTTTTCACATTTTACACCAGAGCAGCTAAGCTGAACACACAGCTGGCTGGGAGCTCTAAGTGTGAAATTCACTTTCAATTCTGAACGATTTATTCTTTATTAAGTAATTGTGTCAGCAGGTAAGTTTAAAATTAATATATATTTTGAATTTTATGTTACATATAACTGGAGTTTACGTAAGTTAGTCAGTGTGGCGCTCAGCCTAGAGAACCAGCTACCCAGGCAGGAGCACTGTGTAGGGATCTGCATTCCCCGCCAAGGTACGATTCAGGAACCACACATGGTTTAAGGTTTTCTGAGCACAGAAACCACAGGAAGGTCTGCTCGTCCTCACCGGAGTCATGTATGTGAAGAGTTTTGAACTAGCTAAATATAACAATGGCATCAAATATAGGCATTAGCTCTCTTCCTGGTTAACAATAAAAAAGTGTGGGCGTCGTGGCTTACATAGTTACATAGCTGAAAAGAGACATATGCCCATCAAGCTCAGCCTTCCTCACATATGTTTTTACCAAAGGAAGGCAAAAACCCAGTCTGCAACAAAGTTGGAAAAAAATCCTTCTTGACCCCAAAATAGCAGTCAGATGTCTCCTTGGAACAAGCAGCTATTACCCCACTAATTAGACATTAGATCCCTGCATTTTATGTTTTTGCAAATATTTATCCAATTTCAGTTTAAGCATCTGTATGGACTCTGATAAAACCACCTCTTTAGGCAGAGAATTCCACATCCTTATTGCTCTAACTGTAAAAAAAAACATGTCCTTTGGCTTAGATCAGGGGTTCCCAACCCAGTCTAGGATTTATGGATCATCCTGTTTTGTCTAAAGTGTTTTTTTCTCTCCTAAAAAACACCTTAGACACAATTGGGTAATCCCTAAATCCTGGACTGTCAGTGGGTACTTGAGGACTGGGTTGTGAACCACTGCCTTAGACTAAATCTCCTTTCTTCCAGCCTAAATGCATGACCCGTGTCCTATGTATAGCCCTGTTTATGAATAGATTTCCAGACAATGTTTTGTACTGGCCGCAAATATATTTGTATAATGTTATCATATGCCCTCTGAGGTACAGTTTTTCAAAACTAAAGTGATTTAAATTTTTTAACCTTTCTTAGTAACTAAAATGCTCCATTACTTTTATAAATTGTGTAGCTCGTCTCTGCACTTTTTCTAATACCATAATATCCTCCTTTAGAACAGGTGCCCAAAATTGCACAGAATATTCAATATGTGGTCTTACCAATGATTTATAAACAGGCAATATGATATTTTCATCCCGAGAATGAATGCCCCTATTTATACATGACAAAATTTACTGGCCTTAGCCACTGCTGTTTGACATTGTGCAAATCTTTACTGTAGATAAAATGGCATGGAACAGGCAATCTGCGATCTCTGGCAAAACTAGGCCCCAGACCCCTCCTTGACAGTGATAGATAGGATGTGAATAGCCCTGTAGTGATTTTAGCTGAGTACAGATAACTGCTACTATAGACAAAAATGACTATTCTAAAAGAGAAGTAGCCAGCTCCTTGAAGACTTAGTACAAGTAATAATGAAGTTGTTGCAATAGTCTGGGCGTGGAATGATCGGTGCGTGTAGGATAATTATAGGTGTAGAGCTAGGGAGCTATGTGGGGATTTCTGTAATATTACAATGGGGAATAAAGAACGTTAACAGAGCTGTTCTAACACTTAATGCACAATGATGTTCAATTCATATTTGTTTAGGGTTTTTCATCAACATATCGGATTTCTCTTCAGATTATCCTACAGCTGTCACAAGGAGTTCGAGAACGGTTTCAGTGAGAATGCGGAGTCCTGAGCCCGTGTTATTATTTACATTTGACAGACATTTCCTCTAAGAATACCGTGACGGGGAAGATTTCGACCGAAATGGTTTCAGTAATTGGTGCTATGTGACTGGTACCATTGCTGGAACGGGGACCTTCATTAAGATCAAGCACAGGGTGTGCCTGCAGTAGTTTGTTATCCTAGTACAGGCACTTTGAGTGTTGGCTGAGGTTGATGGGTAGAGGCTGACAAATTCCCCTCTTCTACACAAGTACAAGAATTCTTCTGATTATGTGTTTATGCTGTACAATTGACACATTATCTAAAACTCCATAAAGTAACATATCAATAATTCATTTCCCTAATTCTGCCCAAGCACCACTATGTTGAAGGGGCGGTATATCATGGAGTATTATTGCTGTGGAGCTCTGTGATACACTCAGACACATTACTGGGAGCATTATTGCTGTGGAGCTCTGTTATACACTCAGACGCATTACTGGGAGTATTATTGCTGTGGAGCTCTGTTATACACTCAGACACATTACTGGGAGTATTATTGCTGGGAAGCTCTGTTATACACTCAGACACATTACTGGGAGTATTATTGCTGGGGAGCTCTGTTATACACTCAGACACATTACTGGGAGTATTATTACTGTGGAGCTCTGTTATACACTCAGACACATTACTGGGAGTATTATTGCTGTGGAGCTCTGTTATACACTAAGACACATTACTGGGAGTATTATTGCTGTGGAGCTCTGTTATACACTCAGACACATTACTGGGAGTATTATTGCTGTGGAGCTCTGTTATACACTCAGACACATTACTGGGAGTATTATTGCTGTGGAGCTCTGTTATACACTCAGACACATTACTGGGAGTATTATTGCTGTGGAGCTCTGTTATACACTCAGACACATTACTGGGAGTATTATTGCTGTGGAGCTCTGTTATACACTCAGACACATTACTGGGAGTATTATTGCTGTGGAGCTCTGTTATACACTCAGACACATTACTGGGAGTATTATTGCTGTGGAGCTCTGTTATACACTCAGACACATTACTGGGAGTATTATTGCTGTGGAGCTCTGTTATACACTCAGACACATTACTGGGAGTATTATTGCTGTGGAGCTCTGTTATACGCTCAGACACATTACTGGGAGTATTATTGCTGTGGAGCTCTGTTATACACTCAGACACATTACTGGGAGTATTATTGCTGTGGAGCTCTGTTATACACTCAGACACATTACTGGGAGTATTATTGCTGTGGAGCTCTGTTATACACTCAGACACATTACTGGGAGTATTATTGCTGTGGAGCTCTGTTATACACTCAGACACATTACTGGGAGTATTATTGCTGTGGAGCTCTGTTATACACTCAGACACATTACTGGGAGTATTATTGCTGTGGAGCTCTGTTATACACTCAGACACATTACTGGGAGTATTATTGCTGTGGAGCTCTGTTATACACTCAGACACATTACTGGGAGTATTATTGCTGTGGAGCTCTGTTATACACTCAGACACATTACTGGGAGTATTATTGCTGTGGAGCTCTGTTATACACTCAGACACATTACTGGGAGTATTATCGCTGTGGAGCTCTGTTATACACTCAGACACATTACTGGGAGTATTATTGCTGTGGAGCTCTGTTATACACTCAGACACATTACTGGGAGTATTATCGCTGTGGAGCTCTGTTATACACTCAGACACATTACTTGGAGTGTTATTGCTGTGGAGTTCTGTTATACGCTCAGACACATTACTGGGAGTTTTATTGCTGTGGAGTTCTGTTATACGCTCAGACACATTACTGGGAGTATTATTGCTGTGGAGCACTGTTATACGCTCAGACACATTACTGGGAGTATTATTGCTGTGGAGCTCTGTTATACACTCAGACACATTACTGGGAGTATTATTGCTGTGGAGCTCTGTTATACACCCAGACACATTACTGGGAGTATTATTGCTGTGGGGCACTGTTATACACTCAGACACATTACTTGGAGTATTATTGCTGTGGAGCTCTGTTATACACTCAGACACATTACTGGGAGTATTATTGCTGTGGAGCACTGTTATACTCAGACACATTAGTATTATTGCTGTGGAGCTCTGTTATACACTCAGACACATTACTGGGAGTATTATTGCTGTGGAGCTCTGTTATACACTCACACACATTACTGGGAGTATTATTGCTGTGGAGCTCTGTTATACACTCACACACATTACTGGGAGTATTATGCTGTGGAGCTCTGTTATACACTCAGACACGTTACTGGGAGTATTATTACTGTGGAGCTCTGTTATACACACAGACAAATTACTGGGAGTATTATGCTGTGGAGCTCTGTTATATAATCAGACACATTACTTGGAGTGTTATGCTGTGGAGTTCTGTTATACACTCAGACACATTACTGGGAGTATTATTGCTGTGGAGCTCTGTTATACACTCAGACACATTACTGGGAGTATTATTGCTGTGGAGCTCTGTTATATACTCAGACACATTACTGGGAGTATTATTGCTGTGGAGCTCTGTTATACACTCACATTACTGGGAGTATTATTGCTGTGGGGCTCTGTTATACACTCAGACACATTACTGGGAGTATTATTGCTGTGGAGCTCTGTTATACACTCAGACACATTACTGGGAGTATTATTACTGTGGAACTCTGTTATACACTCAGACACATTACTGGGAGTATTATTGCTGTGGAGCTCTGTTATACACTCAGACACATTACTGGGAGTATTATTGCTGTGAAGCTCTGTTATACACTCAGACACATTACTGGGAGTATGATTGCTGTGGAGCTCTGTTATACACTCAGACACATTACTGGGAGTATTATCGCTGTGGAGCTCTGTTATACACTCAGACACGTTACTGGGAGTATTATTACTGTGGAGCTCTGTTATACACACAGACACATTACTGGGAGTATTATCGCTGTGGAGCTCTGTTATATAATCAGACACATTACTTGGAGTGTTATCGCTGTGGAGTTCTGTTATACACTCAGACACATTACTGGGAGTATTATTGCTGTGGAGCTCTGTTATACACTCAGACACATTACTGGGAGTATTATTGCTGTGGGGCTCTGTTATACACTCAGACACATTACTGGGAGTATTATTGTTGTGGGGCTCTGTTATACACTCAGACACATTACTGGGAGTATTATTGCTGTGGAGCTCTGTTATACACTCACACATTACTGGGAGTATTATTGCTGTGGAGCTCTGTTATACACTCAGACACATTACTAGGAGGTTATTGCTGTGGAGCTCTGTTATACACTCAGACACATTACTGGGAGTATTATTGCTGTGGAGCTCTGTTATACACTCAGACACATTACTGGGAGTATTATTGTTGTGGAGCTCTGTTATACACTCAGACACATTACTGGGAGTATTATTGTTGTGAGCTCTGTTATACACTCAGACACATTACTGGGAGTATTATTGCTGTGGAGCTCTGTTATACACTCAGACACATTACTGGGAGTATTATTGCTGTGGAGCTTTGTTATACACTCAGACACATTACTGGGAGTATTATTGCTGTGGAGCTCTGTTATACACAGACACATTACTGGGAGTATTATTACTGTGGAGCTCTGTTATACACTCAGACACATTACTGGGAGTATTATTGCTGTGGAGCTCTGTTATACACTCAGACACATTACTGGGAGTATTATTGCTGTGGAGCTCTGTTATACACTCAGACACATTACTGGGAGTATTATTGCTGTGGAGCTCTGTTATACACTCAGACACATTACTGGGAGTATTATTACTGCGGAGCTCTGTTATACACTCAGACACATCACTGGGAGTATTATCGCTGTGGAGCTCTGTTATACAGTCAGACACATTACTGGGAGTATTATTACTGTGGGGCACTGTTATACACACAGATACATCACTGGGAGTATTATTGCTGTGGAGCTCCTTTATACAGACACCAAAAAAATTAAATAAAAATTGATTTGTGCCTAAATATGGACAGTTGGCAATTATCTTCACATTCAGACGGGCTAAACAGCAAAACTCACTGCTGCTCTTAAATTTGACAGCCTGGCTGAGCATTGTGAGAAGTCAGTCCGTGGGTTGTTTTGTGTCAGCCGTGATAACCTTCCCCCATTTTAACGAAGGAAGTGGAGAATGCGGTGACTGCAGTTTCAGAAGTTCCCCATTAGTAAGCCAGAGAACAGAAACGTCTGAACGTGACCATAAAATGTGTGTTTGTTGCTACGAGACGATAAACCGCTTTCTGCAAAAATGCAAACCATGCAATGCTTAGCAGGCGAGCGGTGAGCAGCCGCTGTCCCTAGTGTGATGGCTACGGTTATAACTCCATTAATCACAGAGTCACGGATTACAAACCCTGGTCATCTATTATACTTGGCAATGAATGAACTTAGTACTCACTTACCTCCCTGAGTGCTAACTACCCTGAAAACACCTACCGCACAAACCCAGTAACACCTACCTTTCACTTAACACATTTCAAAATGGGTTTTACGAGAATCGCAGCGTAAAGCGGCCACTTTGGTTTTGGTGTACTTTGCTCAATGTTGTGGATTGTTGTTCCTGCCATATGAGTCTTGGTATAGATCATACTAAAGGCAGGTAAATACCCCATAGTCTAAAACTTTTCCCGGATGTCACACGGTAAAACTGCAGAATTATGGATTTTATGACAAGACACGGAGGCTCATATTGCATATCGCTTTCTTTACTGTCCACCAATAGCAGCAAAGGATACAAACAGAATGAAAAAACAATAAACATACTGTGACATAGGCCCCTCCCACTCAGGTCCCAGAATAATAGGCAGCACTTCCCTTCCATTCCCTCTTTCTTTGCTGCTCCAAAGATAAGTAACAGCTCACATCTTCCTCTCATTGATTACTTGTTTATTCTGTCAGTTATGGTTGTTATTCTGCTATTTATTGTCATTTATTGTCCTATTGTTTCTTCTTTATTGACAGATTCAATACTATTCTTTTATTTGATTCTATTCAGGAATCTTTTCTCCTCAGTTTATCTATTTATGTTATTGTATGTCTGTATATACATATTTTTGTGTCCCAGGGTTCCAAACCTCCTGTGTGAAATATATATCTGTGCACTCTCAGTTTGGCTTTTCTATGATTTGCTCTTATCTCATCTTTTTTCTCGCCATCTCTCCTCTCCCTGTCCTCGGGCGCCATTTTGCGCTGCTTTTCTCTGTTCTGTTCGGCTGTTTTGTGCATGAATCATGCCATCTGGCTAAATTCACGAACACAGACCATTCGTTAGTTTCACCGGCATATAGCAACATTCGCCTATTTGCCGTGTTAAACTAATTGGTTCGTGCAGCTTACTCATTCGTCTGTTTTACATTTGTCTGTTTTCTTCGCACAAATTCACCTATTTTACCACGCGTTCGGTTCGTTTCTATTGACAAATTCACTGGTTTTTACTGTGAATCTCGCAAGACTCACGGCGGTCATTTTCCGACTTCCTGTCTCTCATACTACCTTGTGTGTGTCTGTGTGCCTCTGATCTGGACCCCGGTGAGATCCCTATCATTCTCTTTCCCTATAGTTTGGGTGACTAACCCTTACTACCCTGTAACTCACTAGTAGGAATATTGAGCTGCATCCAATATGCCCAAACCCAGGATACCTTCCAGCTCACCACCCTCTGGGGTGATAGATGCCCCTTTGCCTCTGGGAGAGACCCCTGTCATTTATGACACGCCATCTACTCTGGCAGATAGACCCACCCAACCCGAAGGGGACCAATTCTTGGTGCTACAGCGCTCGATGACAGATGCCATCATGGCAGCCATGAGGTCCATGTCTTCTACCCTCTCCCTTACCATCTCCCAGGCCCTCCTACCACGTCCTTTGGACGCGCAAATGTCAGGTTCCACGACACCTCTTCTGCGTCCCACTGTGGACCTGTCTGAGGGAACACCCAAGAAGGCGACCCAAAAGTCCAAACACCCCTATGCCTCCAGAACTGTTACAACTGGCGTACCTGTGGTCGCCCCAGAAAGCGTGTCCCACCCACGCAAAAGAGCACCAGGTAGAATCCTTGGATCCGTTGGGCGAACCTCTCTTCGACCCGGATGAGTTTCACCATCCGAGGTCAGCGGAGTGGCTCCCAGCGGACCATGTAGCCAAGTACCTTGAAAATTGAGTACGACACCCGCTAAGTAAAGCGGCATGGAACAAACTGAGGGCAGAGTGCCCAAGGCCTACGGTGCCAAATAAAGTCTGAGATACCCCTGAAGTTGATCAGAAAATGACAAGTTCCTAACTAAATTGGGCTGGAACCCACGTAAGGGCCTAGACTCTGCCCTGAAAATATGCCAGGATAAACATTTAGACATATTTGGTCCACTGGCAAAACTTTTCAAACTGGCGGAGGATGCCAGAGCTGGAAACCGTATGGTTGACCCCGAAGACCCCCATGGTTGGCTCCAAAGGGCCACCTCCCTCTCTATTGCACGGCATAAAGCCATTTTGTTTAAAATAGAGCCTAAACTGGCCAACCTTGCCCTAACAGAGGCTGGGAAGGACGCCCAAGGATTACTATTTGGCGACTCCTTCATAAAAGACCTGTGGCGCTTTGTGGGGGCATTTACGGCCCTTGACAAGGCCCAAGGCCCAAGCCTCCATGAGATGGGTTTTTCAGGGACGGGTCTCCACCAGGGCCAGCAGATTCAGGAGCCGTCTGTTTGGCCGGTCCTACTTTCAGTCCCGTGGCTTGGGACGGGGCTCTTTTGAGCACTGCCCCAACTTCCAGAAGACAAGTGCCCATTCCCCATTCTTCCCATCACGCGGACGCCCGTGGCGATCCAGAGGCTTCTGTGGTAACTATGGGGAGTTTACTCATACCTCATGTTTCTTTGCATGTTTATGTAGGTGGCAGACTCTAACATTTTTTCCCAACCGGGGCACAGATAACCTCCGACCCCTGGGTACTAAACACCATTCGAGGTTTCCACATAGACCTTGTAGGGAATCCTGTAACTATCCCTCCTCCTCGACCGATCTGCTTCTCCCTCTGGGATCGCAGGTCGATCGATGATGAGCTATCCTCGCTTCTCACCAAGAGAGCAATAGAATGGGTACCCCCGGGCTCCACACGGTTCGTAAGCAATATTTTCCTAGTGGAAAAGAAGGGCCTCCAAATGCAGCGGAGGCAGTGGATGCCTTCCTGCAGGTTTGGAGCGGAGACCTCCTATATGCTTTCCCCCCATTCTCCATGATCCCTCGCACCCTTCTACACTCTTGCAGATATCAGGCCGAACTGGTCTTAGTGACCCCATTCTGGGAAACACAATCGTGGTTCCCTCAACTTCTCGGGATGACAGTGGATTATCCCAGACTGTTGCCACCCTCCCAGGAACTTCTACTGGATCCGATAGGGTGTTGCCACCCTCTCCGGTTAGAGGGCTCCCTCCCGCTCCTGGCGTGGCGGATTTCAGGGGACCCTGGGAGGTCCAGGGAGTTTCGGACACTACTAGACGCCTACTGGCAATGGCATGGGCTCCCGGCACTAGACGGGCATATGGGTCAGCTTGGCGAGCTTGGGCTCGTTGGTGCCTGGCTCGAGACATGAATCCCGTTTCAGCCCCTGTAACTGCGGTCCTACAGTTCCTGACTTTTTGAAGCAGGTAAGGTATACAGGACCATCAACCTATATTGGTCGGCCATCTCACCAAGAGAGCAATAGAATGGGTACCCCCGGGCTCCATGGGGTTCGTAAGCAATATTTTCCTAGTGGAAAAGAAGGGCCTCCAAATGCGGCGGAGGCAGTGGACGCCTTCCTAAAGGTTTGGAGCGGAGACCTCCTATATGCTTTCCCCCCATTCTCCATGATCCCTCGCACCCTTCTACACTCTTGCAGATATCAGGCCGAACTGGTCCTAGTGACCCCATTCTGCGGTCCTACAGTTCCTGACTTTTTGAAGCAGGTAAGGCATACAGGACCATCAACCTATATCGGTCGGCCATCTCCTCAACACATCAGGGGTTCGATGGATGCCCGGCGGGCCAGCACCCCCTGGTGTCCGGGTCCTCAAAGGTTCTCAGCTCTCTCGGCCGCCCAGACCGCGCTACACTGCGACCTGGGATGTATCGGTGGTGTTATCCTTCCTCGCTTCTTGGTCCACTAATTCCGCGCTCTCCCTAAGACAACTATCAGCCAAGTTGGTCTGTTTGTTTTGTCTCATCTCCTGTAAGAGGGTCTCGGATGTCCGAGCACTGGACTTTAATGCCAGATCATATACCCCAGAAGGAGTGACATTCAATATCAGCAGACGCACCAAAAAGTCTATTAGGTCAGTATTTTATCCGAGCTTCCCCACTACACCGGTGCTATGTCCGGTGGCTTGCCTACGCGCATATGAGGATACACCATTTCGCATCCTCCCCCTATGTATTTCTATTTACCCGTCCGCCGTTTCAACCCATAACTAGCACCACTTTGTCTCGATGGGTTAAATGGCTACTCTCTCAAGCCGGTATTGACACTGCGATTTTCGGTGCCCATTCGATCAGGGGGGCCTTGGCATCTTCACTGATGGCTTCAGGCTCGCGCCTGGAGGACCTCATGAAGATGGCTGACTGGTCGAGGGAATCGTTTTTTCGGGAATTCTACTTCAGACCGGTTCCTCATACGTTTGCGGCAGTAGTCGATCAGCTTTAAACTTGCAATATGAGCCTCTGTGTCTTGTCAGAAAATTGCATGATTTTGCTATTACATGACGAAAAGTCATTATTTTATTAAAGACACGGAGACGAGTATTGTCCCACCCATTTTATACTGCTCAGGTTATGACTTGTTTGTTCCCACCCAGTTTATTTCAATATATAGGTGACATGTATCGCTTTGATTGGTACAGTAAGTGGGATCTGTGTTGGAAGGGATTTGACTTTGTAACTATGTCAGTTTGGGTCTATTTGGTTACTTCTCTCTAGATATTGGTGGGGCCTTGATGTCAGTCTTAAATACCGATTTCAACCTTGGGCTCCTGTTCTTTGTTTTCACAGCCTAATGCGCTCCGGTGGAATGTCTGGTTTCGGCATGTGAAGAGCTCTTCATGCGAATACAGTTTCGTCAGTCATCAAGTTGTGCTTCCATGTTAATTGATGTTATGATCCTCCTCTAGGGTTGAAGTTTCTACATTTTTGTTTATCTCTGGACTATATTGCTGTTCCTGTTTTGGACTCTGTATAGTGTTACATCTTCAGAAAGAGGGAAATGGAAGGGAAGTGCTGCCTATTATACTGGGACGAGCCTATGTCACTGTATGTTCATTTTTTTTTTTTCATGGTTTATATCCTTTGCTGCTATTGATGAACAGTAAAGAAAGGGATCTGCAATACTCTCCTCCGTGTATTTAATAAAATCATAACTTATCATGTAATAGCAAAATCATGCAATTCTGTGCCATTTTACAGAACCCTAAACCGTGTGCCTTAAACAAAGCACAAACTACTATTTCAACTTTAAATGGAACGATTCTATCCATCCTCCAACCTCCCACTACATTGCTAGCTCACAGGAAGGAATCAGTAATATCAATATTTGGATAGATCATCCTAGACTGGCCATATAGATATTGTAAGTAGGTGAACCTTGGCTCTGTGAGCTTTGAAGAAGTCACTTCCCAATACAGACCATAAAACACCAGCTGAGCTGCAAAGATACCAAAAAAAAAAAACCAACCAAAACAAAAACACCCCCACTAAATTTAATCACAACAACTTGCAGAAACTGATGGATAAACCAATCTGCTGTAACCACTCCGATTACTAGTTAAAGCCAGCATTCTTCTTAAAGAAATTGAAAGTTAGAGACCAACATATAGCACTGGGTTACCATTTTATCCCAATAGGTTTCAGTTCAATGACCGATTTAAAATAGATTTAGATTTAAACGAACACTGTAGGGTCAGGAACACAAACATGTATGTGTTAGTAGTGTTTAAAAAAAAAAAAAAAACCTACTATCTAGCCCTTCCCTGACCCCCCTCTTTGCCTCCAGAAATAGTCAAGTCTTAACCTTACCTATTCCAGCCTGCTCCTGCTGGCTTTGCCCTGACCTGCCTCCTTGCCAACATCAGAAGTGGTAGCCTGAGCCAATCACAATGCTTCCCCATATGATTGGCTGACACTCAAGAAGGCAGATCAGGGGCAGAGCCAGCACAGGCCAAACAGCCCTGGCAAACCAGCATCATCTCATAGATGAATTGAATCAATGCATCCCTATAAGGAAAGGTCAGTGTCTGCATGCAGAGGGTGGAGACAATGAATGTCAGTCAGACTGTGCAGCACTGCCCCAGGAAGCACCTCCAGTAGCCATCTGAGGAGTGGTCAGTGGAGGTATCACTAGGCTGTAATGTCAACTCTGTATTTTTCTAAAAATACTGTTTATTGCAAAAAGCCTGAAGAGATTGACTACACTTTCCAGATCAAATACAATAAGCTGTAGTTCTGGTGACTAGTGTCCCTTTAAAGTCCATTTCAAAGACGACAAGAATGTTAAAGTCTACTGAATCTCCAGATAACTTGATTGCCTTTGAACAATTTGTTTCTTATTCGGCTCTAAATATTGATAGTTTCCCATTAAAAGTTAGGACCACTTCCAGAAATGCAACAGTAACAAAGAATATGAAAAAAAAAGTGACTTGATAATCTTTCCAAGTTTTATTTTTATAAGAATCTTACTTTATTAATACAAGCATGTTACAAGAGTGCTGTAAACGGAATGATTACAGGAAGCACATGTCCATAGGAGAAACTGAACTATAAACCTGCAACATCCGATGGGCAACAGGACGCCACTGAAACATTACTAGGACAAGTCATCAGCCCTCCAGCTGTCCAGCGAATGCCCATGTTTAAGGCTGGCACAGACACCACAGAGCAAGTGGGGGAAGTCATGTGACATGGTAATGTGAACATCTCCCCAACGGTTCAACGTTATATCCATGATACCAGGCGAGATAAAGGACACCAGTCCCTCTGAATACTTAATAAAGGAGTTTGAAGGTCCAGCAAAAGGCAGCCACACCTGCTTACCATTTACCTAGGAGACGTGGGAGACAAAGTGCTGTTAGGTTTATTTCACAATACACGGTTTCCTTGAAGGAAGTGGTATCTAAGTGACTCACCCATACATGTAGAGAGTTTGTGATCGTGACAAAGCTATTCTGGAAGAAAATGTGAAGTTTTCCTGGTACACCATGGTGGACTTTCAGCACAACTCTTAACCAGATTTTTGAGAGATAATTGCAGATTTTTAGGATGTCATACGTGCCATTGTAATTCAGAGATCTGGAGAAGTTACCGAACGATGTGATTTCAGTAGAATTTACTATACACTGCAGACAGGCCTGAGAAGTCTCATTCTGCTGACAGACAAGATGCTGATTTCTTTCCGTAGACTCATAAATCACCAGCTGCAAGGAGAATAAAGTAAATAACATCGTTTTTAGACCTTTTCAGGACCAGTAATGTTTTAAAGACAAGACAATTGTATTTCACATGTACGTTATTAGGAACAGTTACCTCTTCTTTAGTACTTTGTAGGCAAAAAATTGCATCCACACAATCCAAGCCATCCCACACCAAGCCTTCCTGGCAGCTGCACCCCTCCATGCAATGAGCAAGGCAGCCATCTCCAATACACCGGTCACCACAGGGCCTCACACAGGGTGTGTACACACTTCTCAAAGGACACAGGAAAGCTAGGACACAAAAACACTTCATTCGGAAACTAGTCGTGAGGGTTTGCTCTTAACCACAGCACACGTTTAACAAGTTTTAACTTCCATAAAGTTATACTATAGTGCCAGAAACCAACTTGTCAGTTAGACAATCAAAAAAGTCACCCAACAACCCAGAAGTCGCTCTAGTGGCGGTCTGGTAGACAGCCACTAAGTGGAGTTAAATCGTAGATCGTAATTATTGCAGGTTCAATAACTGCAATAATTACTACTGCAGGATTAAGAGACTTGGGACATTGAACCCAGACCACTTCAATGAGCCGAAATGGTTTGGGTGCCTTTAACTCCTACTTCAAAAGTCATAAGAACTGAAAGACCATAATGGCAAAGTTAGGCCAAAATGGTAAAGCTGTGCTTACAGCAGAGATGGAGTTTGTTCCCCCCCCAATCCTCTATTTTAGATCAATTTTTTCCCAACGTGGCTTTCAAGTCACTATTTGTTGTCTAGTGCATTGTAAGATCTGCCTCTAGATACACCACTGGTTTGAATTATAATAGCCTGAATTTAATCAGTCAAAAACATACGGCAAAAGTCATTTTTTCTCCAGGGCTGGACAGAGACACCTTGTGACTGGCATATCATGGCATAATCATGGAGAGTCTGGCAAACTGACAGATTATCCCCATCATATCGGCACTGTTGGGCAAGACATAGGTCATAAAATGCGAATGGGCTGAAGACATCATGGCAAGCTCCATAGGGGCCCCTTTCATCCAATAGTAACAGACAGAGGCTGGGATCGCTTGATGCCGAACCATTACATCTCCAAGAATTAGCACTTGTGGGTGTGATTGGGGTTGAAAATTCACTGGTGTTTGTTTGTGCACAGAGCCCACAGATAGAACCATGGAAGTTCTCAGGAAATAATATTAAGATAAGTTGTCCATCATACAGGATAGATAAACCAATATCAGTCTCCAGAGTTAATAGGAGGCCATTCTGATTCAGCCAAACCTTTCCTGGAAGAATAACGGCTGGTGGATCGATGAACATCCCATTTACCTGCATAACAAAAACCTCTGTTCAGTATTATAACAGACACTGTATTAGACAGTTTCAGAAAGGTTGAATACATTCATCCATTTGACTTTAATGAGGTAAATTTACAGTCTGCACTTGATCTACCAGAAAGCAAAAAAAAAAAAGTTAAGTAGGCAGATCGAGGAAGAGCAGAATTCAGTAAGCGCTATAAGAATCTAAAGCAGCAAGTTCTAGGCCAATGCCCCCTTGGTCAGAGGGGTTTTTAAAGAGAATGAGGAGGAAGGAAGGAAAAGGCAGGAGGAAGGGAAGAGAAAAAAAAAAGCCACACCATTTATGTTGGCCAAGTAGAACACACTTACCCAAACATTAAACGGTTCTTGATTATCCAAGACTATGTCCACTCCATACACTCTAAACCAGAGCTGTCCCCTACTCTCTGTATCACTATACATATAATGAACAGCAAAGTATTCATGGGTTATATTGCTTTCTTCAGGACAAAACTGGACAAGAGACACATTGGAAGACCCAGCAAATTCTTTAAATGTTAGACCACCAAAAGGAATATAATTATTCTGAAAGATGAAACAATGTTGGCGCTTTTGAGGGTTATAGCCAGATGTTCTCTCAATAAGGCTGCTTTTCTCTTTCATTGGGTACTTTGTAAGTTCTGAAAAGGAAACAATGAATAGAAATGTAAGAAGATAAAAACCTCTGTGGCTAGTATTGATGGCTAGTATTGTGAAATTGTACCTATTTGATCTTCAACTTGTGAGCCAGTTCCCCAAGGGTGGACAATTGTGCGAGCTGAGAGACAGACATCCCGATAACGTTGTAGATTTTGAATTAGGGCTTCCTCGTGGCCACTCTCCAGGGTCATATGCAATATGCATGTCTTAAAGTACGGCTCTGGGGGAATAACAGCATGGCAGTGTCTAAAATATCCCTCCTTCATCAGGAGTTGGCCACAATAATTTTTATCTTCAAATTTGCTTGTTTCATTGAATACACAACCACTCATGTTCGTTGGATAAGCGCACATCTCTTCAGAAATCCATTGCAATAAGAATTCTGTGGCATTTACGGCATCAAAGTCATCACCGGCATTCCCATTTGCATTACCACATAGGCCACAAACATTACCCATGTATCTCACTGATATTTGGAGGGAGACCCACGAAGGACCAAAAATAAAGAGACCAAAGTCTGAGGTTATATGTATGGCAGGACCGTGTTTTGAAGCCACAATCTTACCAAACTCTACCACGATTGGGAAGTATTGCGTTTCTCCATCTACCTACAAGATAAAAAGCAAGACTAGTTTGAGGAAAAAACCTACTGCAGAGATGGTTCTAACAAAATATGAATACTATTTACAACTAGATTTATTTGCTTTAATTATCATTAAAAAAAGATTGTTAAACCTAAAACAGCTGCTCTTGAAAGAAGCACATTTCAAGAATTAAATTCTTAGATATTGTAATTCAATTTAGAAGAAAAGTCCTTGTAAAAATAGATGGTCTGCACTGTCTCTAAAAGCCTTATGGTTATGGTAAAAGCCTTGCCTTCTAGTGTGTGACCTAAAAGTTCTATTTGAGGACTTCTGTGCCATGAAAGTTGTAATGGCATCACACTTTAATTAGTTTAAAGGATTGATTAGAGGGGTCAACATGTATGCTGCCTGGACACAGTAAAAGCCAACTGTTTCAAGTGTGCTGATGGCTGGAGCTTCATTCTCGAAGCCTATGTTTGTTTTCATATTCCAAGCCCCTATCATTCTTACTAAATTAAGAGTTCTGGTGTATTAAGAGACTGTATAGGACAGCTCTAGTTTTCTTCAGAAAAAAAAAACTCAAGGTGAATGCAATTTTGCTATTTGGTGTAACATGACAGACCTAAGGCAAGAATTCTAGATGTTATTCAAAGGATAAAGAGCAAACACGTACACACTGCAAGACGAGATGTGTGTAGCCAATTTCTTCTACTAGCCTATACTTCGATGGAACAAAAAGCAAACCAAGTCACACGTCCCCACCTTACCTGTATTCCTTCAGTGTTCCTGGATACTGTCAAGCTGTGCCCATATACATGAAGAGTGGCTGTGCTCAGCATTGTGAAGTTTGTTTCAACAGCCTCACTTTGCAAATAGACTTCAAACGCAAGCAGGTCACTAGGTTGGCATAGCTTACTCATGGTATAGTTTCTATTCCCATTGGCATCCAAGATGGCACCATCAAATGTGTGGTAATACAGATTATTTGTGACCCAGCAGGCTGGCATCATTTTGGGAAGACATGACCTCACCCCTTTGTCAATTACACATTCTTCTCCCCGGTGGCAGGCTTGTTCTTTGCATGTGACAGTACCATTGAGACACTCACACAACTGCCAGCAATCATCATCGTAGAAAGCCTCACCAAGTTGCAAGTAGTGGCCATTATATAGGCAGCCACAGTCTTCAGGAAGGACACACTTTCCTCCACCAAGAACATAGCCAGAATCACAGGAGCAACTCTCCCGGCAAGTCAGAGGACAGAAGTGTGGTTGGAAGTTGTTGCATGCTAGAGGGCAGCTGGGGCCACAAACTGTGTAATGAGAATTGGGTGGGCACTGATGACCTGCAAAACAAGAAGTCGTAATTTTTATATTAAAAGTATAGCAAAACATTAATAGAAACAGAACAAATGTTCATGGCAGCGTACATCAGGAGAGAAGATCGGGTGCAGGTGGAATTAAACTTTTCTCCACATTGAGGTGGTACAGCAAGTTTACCATGTGAGCTAAATAAACACGTTGCACTACTTCTAGGAGAGAATAGAAAAGCATACTCCCTGCTTGACTCTGCAGTTCATCCACCTTCATCCTCCCACCATTGCATTCACAGAATTATTTTAGTGTTCACAATAATGCAGTCAAAAGTGTTTTAGCAAATGTAGCACAAAGCAGAGTAAACACCAACCTACACAAATACCCGCAGCCAGCTGGTCTGCTTACCACAAGCGCAGCAGATAATGCCCATCCTGCAGGTGGTTCATCTAGAGATTGGATTGCCAACTTCCCATTATTACCTCTACTCAGAATACAACCGCATTAAAGATTTATGGAACAAGCATACATCCAAGTACATCAATAGTACTCATGTTATCTACCTTTAAAGAAGGAGCAGAGAAGTGGCAGGATTTAGATCTATATAGTTCGTTAATTTCTTGAAAATCAGTTAAAAATCTGAGCTCTCTCCTACAAGTCACTGGAAATTTGTTGAAAATTACAAAGGTCACCATTTTGTAAGTTGTGGAGAGTCATCTAAAAATTGCATTTCTGGACATTGATCATTTCATGATACATCCACTTTGCAGTTGGAGGGAAATGGGAAGTAGATGTCAAGTCTCCCCCTTTACAGCTACTGTGAAGTTACATAGCTGAAAAGAGACTTGTGTCCATCAAGTTCAGCCTTCCTCACATATGTTTTTGCTGTTTATCCAAAACAAGGCAAAAAACCCAGTCTGAAGCGCTTCCAATTTTGCAACAAACTAGGAAAAAATTCCTTCTTGACCCCAAAATAGCAGTCAGATTTATCCTTGGATCAAGCAGCTATCCCCTCACTAATTAGATATTAGATCCCTGTATGTTATGTTTTTGCAAGTATTTATCCAATTGCTGTTTAAACATCTGTATGGACTCAAAACCTTCAGACAAAGAATTCCATATCCTTATTGCTCTTACGTTAGAAAGAAAAACAAATTCCTTAGATGGACTTACATGAAATCTCTATTCTTCCAGCCTAAATGTGTGACCTCGTGTCCTATGTATAGCCCTGTTTATGAATAGATTTCCAGATAATGGTTTGCACTGGCCTCAAATATATTTGTATAATGTTATATCCCCTCTGAGGCACCTTTTTCCAAACTAAAAGTTTAAATTTTTTTAACCTTTCTTCATAAATAAAATGCTCCATTCCTTTTATCAATGTTGTAGCTCTTCTCTGCACTTTCTAGTGCCATGATATCCATTATAACAGGTGCCCAAAATTGCACAGCATATTCAAGGTGTGGTCTTACCAGCAATTTATAAAGAGGCAACTGTTTTCATCGAGAATTTTTACATGACAAAACCTTACTGGCCTTAGCAACTGCAGATTGACATTGAATATTGCTGACTAATTTGTTGTCTATAACAATTCCCAAATCCTTCTCATGTGTGGTTATCCCTAATTCACTACCATTTAGTGTGTAAGTTGCATTTCTCTACTTTAAATTTCATCTGCCATTTTAGTGCCCAGTCCCCCAATCTATCTAAATCCCTCTGCAGCAAAGCAATATCCTGCTCACAAAGTTGTGTGTCATCTGCAAACACTGATACATTGCTTTCAATGCCTATTTCAAGATAATTTATAAATGTTAAATAGAACCCTGAGGGACACCACTTACCACTTGTCCAGCTTGAAAATTTACCATTAATGACAACTCGTTGTACTCTATCCTTAAGCCAATGTTCTACCCAAGAACAAGAATATTCATCTAGACAAATTTCTTTTAGTTTGAAACTAACCTATTGTGAGGAACCGTATCAAATGCCTTGGCAAAATCCAAGTAGATCACATCCACTGCAACACCCTGATCTATACTTCTATTTACTTCTTTGCAGAATGCAATTAGGTTAGTTTGACATGACCTATGTTTCATAAAACCATGCTGATTATTGCGAACAAAGTTCTTCCCAACGAATTCCTGAATATTATCCCTTAATAGCCCTTCAAGTATTTTCCCAGTCCCAGAAGTTAAGCTCACAGGTCTAACTTCCAGGCAAGGAATCTGAACACTTTAAATATAGGAACGACATCTGCCTTCCCCCAATCCTCCGGTACAATACCTAAAACAAAAGAATCTTGAAAAATGAAATACAGAGTTTCACTTATTTCCCCACTTAACTCCTTAATTACTCGTGGGTGGATACCGTCAGTCCTGCGATTTTTTTTTCACATTAATTTTCTTTAACTGCTGTAGCACCTTGAGTCATCCAACCACAAGTTATCTGCAAGTTTTTTTGCAGCAATCATTTGCATATCTATTGCCAACAGGTGTTGAAGTGGCACTTAAATTGCCAGCAAGTGCAATTGCTAGAACACTGATTCAATCAGTGGATAGATCTATAAGCCTTGTTTATGCAAGTGTGCCCAGGGTTTGTACTAGTATACTCACTACAGAATGTGTCAGTTCTCCAAGAATGGACTACTGCTCCTTCTTCCTGGCATGCTGTGGTGTAGCTGGAAAGAACTTTGCACAGGTCATCCTCATTACATAGATCTGCAATACACCTGTGGATAAAGCTTTCAGTGTCAAGCTTCCTGTAACAGTCTCTGAATGGTCCATTGTCATCCACAAGCATCCCACAGCTATCCAAGTCGTAGCTTCCCATAAGGGAACATGTGCTGCAGTTTTTATGGCAGTCACTCCTGCAGATCTCCAATTCTGGGTTAGTGGGCTCAGAGACACAAAGACCACATACCGCACCAGTATAGGACATAGGAATAAGAGCCAAGACTTGTCCATTATCAAATGAGAAGGTCAGACCATCATATGAAAGCACGATAACTCCACCCAGACCACTCTGAAAGATTACAACTTCGCCACCATTCAGTAAAACAGGTGTGTCATATAACACACCATCCACCTAAAATGGACAAATTTTACACATGAGGAAAATGAAAACAAAAATGTAAATTTAAATTAAAATATGGTATAAAGTCCACAAGCATAAAAAGCACCAGCTCCATTTACCTCAACTCTTCCATTGTACACATGGCTGAGGGTCACCAGTCTTCCAGATATGTAGATATCAACAGCTTTGATATGATTTGATCCAGGTGTTGCTCCTTCATGGGTAATTAAGTGCACATCGAAATTCTCCAACTCATTAGTTGGCACACAAAGACCTGCCATTTTGGTGTCACAATAGCCAATAATACTGCCAAAATGTCCATCAAATGTTACATAGTTAGAACTTGTATAGACCGAGCAGGATTCCTTTATAAATGCAAGGCAAGACCACAGGTCATTGTCAAGTCCACACATATACCCAGGATCACAGCCATTAACATTTTGGCATTCTACTTCTCCTGTGGAACCATTGCACAGGCACATTGTTTGACAATTACTGCTGAGCAGTTCTGTTCCATTAGGGTAATAGTTACCTCCCCAGAGACATTGTTCCATGGGGGTACATGAACCCATTTGGAGTTTATAATTCGGTTGACAAACACAGTCTTCAAAACATTGTTTTCTGTCACACTCCGAGCTTTGAGAACCCAAGCAGGTTGAAAAAGGTGAACAGCTTTCATAGTAACTATTCAACGGACATTGAAGGTCTGTGGATATTAAAGAGAACGATTTATTTAGGAGACATTTCTAGACCATAAACCCATACATTGATTTAAGAGACTTACCACATTTCGCCAGATTCCTCCATCCATTCATGTTTACACCTTCTACTGCGCAAGCCTTAGCATAACTCTCCAAAATCTTGCATTTGTCAAAAAATGCATTTTCACAGACCTCAAACATACAACTTTTAACAAATGGTTTGGAATCCAGAACTTCAGAACATTCTTTAAATACGTCCAATTCTTCCAGCAAGCTACAGGATGTGGTAGTATTGGTTATATTACTAATTTGTCTGTTGCATTCCTCATAATACCTCCAGCTGCCAGAGGCACAAGGCTCATCTGTAGGAAGTCCTAAACTGGATTGATTTGTAGAGTTGCCAGTATATCCCACGCAAAGCCCAGTCAGTGCAGAAAAGCTGGGGATTGTAAGATAAAGGAATCCTTTTCCAATCAGAACTCTGAGCCCAAAAGAAAAGCTTGCTTCAGTAAATGGACCAAGTCGTGTTACGTTTAGTGGACCTTCCTGAAAACTTAATGGAAGGTAAAACTGGACTCCATCTACCTAGAGATTGAAAAGAAGAAAAATGAAAATTATAGACTCACTCTGTATAACTCAGATCTGGTTAAAGTGTTCCCAAATCCTCAGTCTCAATAGAATGGGAATAGGAGGGAAGAGGGGATGGAATATTAAAAAAAAAAAAAAATTTAAAAAAAAAAAAAACACCATTTTCAATCTTTAGTATTCTGTAGCTAATCTCAAAATTAGGTTAAATTGACTAGCTAATTATGGTTATTCACAAACCAATAAATTATGGGAAATTTAAATTTGTATTGACAAGTTCAGCTTATTGCTTAACTAGATTAGATTTACATATAGTCAACTCAGTTTTAGTTTGATAGTTGGTGGCAACTGGCCTCAGACAAATTAGACAATAGTTAAAGCCAATTACAATATATTGGATAAGATGCTAAAGATATAGTAGTGTGATGGAACTACCATCACGTATCAGACACAAAACACCAAGTTTTAGGAACCCTCCTGTTTCATGTTTGGACTGGGCATTGCCATCTCAACATGGACACAATGGTGACAAATTTATGGAGGATGATGAGACACTCACTGTTACTTCTCCTGGTTCATTGACTGGTATCTCAATAGTCATGCCAGAAGTTCTGATTATCAGTGCAATGTCTGGCTTCATTTTCCTTTCTACGCTGAAGGATTGAGAACTGGTTTCATGATCTTTAAGTGCGAGGAGTACAGCTGTGCAGTTACCAGACTGGATCACATAAGACCCATCAAAGGTGCGAAAATGTGACCTTCCCCAGGCAATGCATGTTGGGTGAAGAGGAGAAAAAACAGTTTTTCCATCTGTTCTGTTGAGTGGCAACTCATCCATAGATTGAACACTGGAGTGCAGACTTTGTACTAGATTGAAAAATAAAATATAATGGGTGAGAACAGAAATCTGGATTGTCCAAGCCACAGTTTCTCATTTATAGGTCATAGAAGGTTCATTTTTTAAAGTTGTAGATTTAATTTAGTACCATAATACATTTCAGCTTTAATAGAAAGCACACTTAGAAGCTATTCTGTCAGTACAAGTTCAGAGTGCACAGGCACAGGGTTGGTGGTGTAATATTGGATACAGATCAAGCAGAGGCAGCCTGGACAGTATTTTAGTTTTGTATTGTAGACATCTTATACAAGAGTTGTCAAGGTTTCATCTAATGGCTCAAGAAAGCACTAACTTTTACACAATCGAAGTGGTGAGTTACCAAATCGTACTTTATCCATTCTCAGCAGGTTTTAGTTCTGACCTATTTGAAGTGTCTAAGTCTCTCAAATAATAGCACTGAGTGAGTAAACAGGTCACCGATTTAAGGAGGGGGGGGTGGGGGGAGGGAGAGAATAGAAAAAAAAAAAGCCACAGGGTTAACTCCACCTCTAGTGGCTGTCTAGACAGCCACTTCCTGATTCATAGCAAAGATTCTTTGCTAGAGCGTTGCTGGACGTCCCCACGCTGTGGGAGGACCTCCAGCGTCGCTCAGTTCCCCATAGGAAAGCATTGAAAATCTTTCAATGCCTTCCTATGGGGAGACCCAATGAGCGTGTGCGGCATTGCTGCGCATTAGGTTTCCTCAGCCGGCAGGCGGGATCAGTCTCGCCCACTGGCTGACTGAATTACTAGGAGCGATGCCGACCTGAAACTACCGCCAAGGGACATTGGCAGGGTCTCAGGTGAGTGACCTGAAGGGGTTTTCACCCCTTCAGCTACCTGGGATGGGAGGGAGAGGGTACCTGCAGTGCCAGGAAAACTGATTGTTTTCCTGGCACTGGAGTTTCCCTTTAACAGCAGAAACATCTAAAACAAATCAGTGTATGTGACCACCCTTTGCCTTTAAAACTGGGTCAATTCCTCTAGGTATACTTGCAGACAGGTTTGTAGGGACCTTGTTTCGGTTGTTGCAAACATCTTTGAGAACCAAGCATAGTTCAGTAGATTTAAGGTGCTTCTGATATTAAGGCAGATATTAAGGCTCTGGATTTGCCACACCATCACTTCCAGGACTCCATATACTTTGTCGGTGTCTTATGGACTATGACTGTTTGGGAGTCATTGTCATGTTGCAGAATTAATGTGGGGCCAGACACCTCCCTGATTGTATTACATGATTGAGTATCTGCCTGTACTTCTCAGCATGGAGACCGTTAATTCTGACCAAATACCCAACTTGCAGAAATGTCACCTTAAACTTGCACCATCATGCCTCACTAACCTACAAAACACTAATTCTTGTACTTCTCTCTAGCCCTTAGGAGAAAAAGCTGTCTTCTGCTAAAAGCAAATATTTGAAATGTATGATAAGTGCCTGTTTGATATAAATCATGCACCTGAACGCCTCAAATTTATTCTAAAGCATGACAATCCCGAACATACAACTGCAGTCATTAACTTATAAAACGTAAAGAATATTGAGCCTTGTGTGATTTTATGGCACCCTCAGACCTGATCTCAACACGAAGCCTGTCTGTGACTACATGAAGAGACCAGCAACTGAGGAGGCTTAAATACAGTGAAGAATGGCTTAGCTCTCCAAGATATTTGCAACAGCCCAATACAAAACACTAAATACAAAATCCCTAACCTGCAAGTGTACCTAGAAGAACTGATGTGGTTGTGAATGCAATAGGTGATCACACCAATTATTGATTTGATTTAGATTGTTTTGTTTACTCACTTTGCATTATCAATTGATGACAATTTCTATTTTTGAAAGCATTCTTGCTTTGCAACATTTTGCCAAGCCTTCCAAGATATCTGCACAGTTCCTTATAAGACACAGCAAGATGTAGAATACACATGAAGACCACCATGGCAGCCACCATTTAAAAAAAAATAAAAAAAAAAAAATTAAAAAAAAACCAGTAAAAAAGTGATTCTGCAAATTATTCACCGAGGTACAGGGCTATTCACATTGGTTTATTGTTAATTTTTTTCTGAGACATGTTGTCAGGGAGTGGATTAGAGTTCTTGAGACAGCATGAAAAACCCACACAGTGTTTTACATACCTCTATCTAGACACACCCCTGGTACTCCATAGGCACTCATTTTTGCAAAGCCAACAGAAAATAGCCCAAACTGTTCATAAGGATGTGAGATAACACTATATCCACTATGCTGCATATAAGGTATTTTTGTGTACATCATTGTTGTACCATCAACATCTCTCCATTGTAAGTTCATTAACTTCGTCTGATTGTATTGTAATTGAGAAGCACTATTCCTGGGAATGACTATAAATGCAAGGTTCTTAAGACTGGGCAAGGAGACTAGTCCATAACTAGAACAGAATTCTTCTTCTGGAGTGAGGTTGAGAAGGAATCCACCATAGATAAGGTCTTTATAAATGCCACCACTGCTATACAGCAAAGCCATGAGCGCGACAGTACTAGATATATGTGCGGACATGGAAGAGGGAATTTTGAACTCTTCCACACTTCCAGGAATCATTTCTTTGTACAAGGTATTGTTATCGTTTTTAACAATCACAACAGTCTCTGCAGATGCCATGACATAGACACTGTATGTGTTCTGAAATTGTATTGGTGGTGCCACAAAATTAGATCCCCAGGAAGTGATTGGCAGAAGTTGCATACATATATGGGTGCAGTGTGTGTTCTTCTGAGCACAGCTGTGACCTGTAAACACCCCAATAGTTTCTTGTGACACAAGATGGCTGCCAGACAAGTCATAGGAGCTCTGGAGCTGTACAGATTCCCACGGTTCCAGTGTCAGATGTAGCGGTTCTCCAGGAGAGAAGCTCTTCTTGTCAAAGAACACCATGTCTGTTAAGGTGGCAGTGACCAGATTAGGTGTGGGACCATTAATCACAGCTATTTGTGCAAATGTTCCTCTTGGCCCACTGTCAGGTGTAAATACATAGTATTCTCTCCCCCACTCTGTTATTGGATACACAATCCACGTGCTGCTTGTATAAGGTCTTTCATTGTTTGCCACCACTGATAGTTCCTGGGTTGAGTGGACACTGACAACCTTATTAGATCGGCAACTATTAAGAAGCTCAGAATCCACTGGTAACGTAACGGTCACTGAGGAGCCAGGCATTACTGAGACTAGCTTGCAAAAGCTTGTTTTTGGAAGAGAGATATTGACTTGAGTATCTTGGAAAAATGCTGTGAGTGTAAGTCGCAGGCGTGGTTTACCATGATCAGGGCGAAAGTTCTGCATGAAGACCACAGCAAAGTCTTTTCCCAGAGTCTCACAAAAAGCATAGCCTAATAAGATAAAAGGTGATACAATATCATACAACATCATACAACATCTCTTGCATTCCACATACAGTTTATCGACAGCTATTCCTCAGTCATGGATGCAAGTCTTAATGAAAACTTATGGTTAAACCAAATCTACAACCTCATCTAGAAGTTAGAAATGCGGCTTGCATGAACTGGGAGGTGCAGACATTTCAGGACTTCCTCCATTCAAGTTATACAGTCAGCAATTCAGAATATAAAAGGAACACTATAGGGTTAGGAACACAAACCTGTATTCCTGACTAGTGTTAAAACCACCATCCCTTAGTATAATATAGTAAAAGTCTGCAGCTGTTGCCTCTGATCTGCCCACATGCCTGACATCAGAAGTGATTCTGTGAGCCAATCACAATTCTTCCCCACAGGATTGGCTGAGAAGGAAGCAGATCGGGGAAGAGCCTGCACATGCTAAACCGTTCTGGCCAATCAGCATCTCCTCAGAGATTAATTGAATCTATGCATCTCTATGGGGGAACTTAAGTGTCTGCCTACAATGGGTAGAGAATGAATGGCAGTGCTACTCACTGTGCAGCACTGCCCCAGGAAGTACCTCTAGCAGCTAAGGAGTGACCAGTGGAGGTATCCCTACGTTGTAATGTAAATACTGCATTTTCTCTGAAAAACAGTGTTTACTACAAAAAGACTAAAGGCAGTTATTACACTCACCAGAACAAATACAATATGCTGAAGTTCTGGTGACTATAGTGTCCCTTTAAAAGCCAATATTCCAGCCATCAGAATTCCTAGATAGTGTTTTGCAAATTTATTTAGAACTTGTTATACATCAGCCCCGTTTTAGTCCATGCATGAAGGTGGTTTAAAGGACCACTATAGTGCCAGGAAAACACACTCGTTTTCCTGGCACTATAGTGCCCTGAGGGTGCCCCCACCCTCAGGGTCCCCCTCCCACCCGGCTCTGGAAAGGGGAAAAGGGGTAAAAACGTACCTTTTTCCAGCGCTGGGCAGAGAGCTCTCTGCCTCCTCTCCTCCTCCGATCCGCCCCGTCCCGTCAGCTGAATGCGCACGCGCGGCAAGAGCTGCGCGCGCAGCCGGTCGCATAGGAAAGCATTCATAATGCTTTCCTGTGGACGCTGGCGTCTTCTCACTGATTTTCACAGTGAGAAGCACGCAAGCGCCTCTTTGGGGGAAGGCTTAACCCATTCATAAACATAGCAGTTTCTCTGAAACTGCTATGTTTATTAAAAAATGGGTTAACCCTAGAAGGACCTGGCACCCAGACCACTTCATTAAGCTGAAGTGGTCTGGGTGCCTAGAGTGGTCCTTTAAGGGACATAAACGTCAGTTAATTTAACTTTACGTAGATAGTTTCAGAGTTAAACTGAAAGCTTTAATTTAACTTTTAAAAATAATAAATAAAAAAAGCTGGCCTTTACTTCAGGAAGCTAAAATTGTACTTAACTACTTAAGTTTCTCTTGTGTTTTTTTTCCCCTCTCTTCTGGAGAAAAGTAGTCACAAAAAGTAGATTATTAAATCTAACGTAAACAGATTTAAACAAAGTAGTTTTGGAGATTTTAATTGGTTTGCAGAGGGGTGTGTATAAACTCATTTTGCTAATTTTTCTTTTAACTAGCTCTTACGCTGCGGCATCAAATAACTTACCCCCAAGATACAGAACGAAGCACACACACAGGATCAGGTTTATACCCATTGCTGTAAAAAAACCAGACAGAAGATCAACCAAGAGACAGTCCATTTCAAAAGCAGAGCCAAAATAGTAAATCGAGCACAGATTAAAGCTACATATTGTATTACAGTCAAAATAGCCGAGATGGCAAAGATTTTCCTAAAACAGGGAGTTTTTATCTTCGACATACAGATCTGGCTTGTGTGCGATCCACAATCTTCCTCATGGGAGCTTATTTACTAAACGGCAAAGTGGGCCGCAAAATACACGTCAAAACACAGTTTGGAAGATATGCTTTAGCCACGCCTTCACATTTCAAGATATTTAATTTACATTAATACGGCAGTTACAAAATAAGATCCAAGATACCAAAAACCTTCAATAGAATGCACTAAATTCAGAATTGGGCCAAATTAAGAGACATCTGGTTCCATAGCGCTACATTTTCCAGATTATCTGCTTTGACATAAAATGACACTCTTTTATATCAAGAAGGAAAAACATTTTTTTGACTGCTTTCTATTGACACAAGATGATTTTTATTTTGGTTTACATACAAAAAGCCATCTTGTTGTTTGTTTGTTTAATTGACAGAAAGCATACCTGCACCTCAATAGGACTCTGTAACTTTCAGTCCATCCCAGACAATGTAGCAAACAAGGCTTGCACTCCATCCTTTATTCCCTCTGATGGGGGGAGGGGCAGATACATTATTTTACTTATTATCTCGTTAGCTCACCTGGCGGAATGTTAATCAGCTGATACTGAGCTGCTTTGCAATGCAGACATTTCACTGAGCCATTATTTTATACCAAATTTGTCATACAGATTTCTTTTGCTAAAATGTGGAGCTTAGTGAAGAGAATGGGGGTTACGTATAAATAGCAGTGTGCTTGTTTTCACCCCAAAGTGTTGTCATTTTAAATAGGTGCTTTCAGTAAGAACTTTTTTTCTCTGACCAGTTTTCTGTGGCAGATAAGAAACCTTCTTCATCTTCCTTTTTCTTTAAGAAATAAAAAAAAAATTCTTCACGTTTAAATGTTTCTTTTTCCACAAATCTGCTTTTCTTGTTAGAAATATTAATTATTAGTCTTATTTCGTGAATGCAATCAATGGTAAAATGACTTGGCGAAAAGGAGCAATGAATTTCACAGAGGAATGCAAAGTGATAGAAAGTTTAAAGGTGCAGAAACCGATTTATCCACTAATCTAACGCCTACGTGACAGTGAATGCGATAATTTTTATTCGTAACCCCCAACATATTTTAAAAGTGCCTTTCCCTGAATAGGCTGCAGCTGGTTATATTTCACTACTGCCATCTGCATGTTCAGTCAGGGATGTTTATAAAACAGATATGATTGAGAGAAATGTACAGTGTTAGTTACTAAAAGTGTGAATTCTAAGGCCAGAGTAGCTGAAATGAAAGCAGAGCTGACAGAGGTTTTTTGGGGGTATTTTGTCTTTAAATTTGAAATTAATTTTAAATTCTCACTTTGGTGAATTCCCTCTTTCTGTCAGATGATCAGCGACAATGTTGCTGTTTTATACCAACACTGAAACAACCTGCCAACCTGCCACGTCATTTTAAAGGAACACTCTACAACTTCATGTAATGATTTTGGTTCAAAGAGACTGTCCCTGCAGACTGCCCGGTGTCACTGTCTGTTTTGAAGCCCATGGAGAAAGTGCAGCTTAGGGAAAAGGTCCCCAACAGGGATAGGAGGCGGGCTAGGGGCAGGAGCAATAGTGGGGATTGGTGGGTCAGTGTTTGGGGGTTGGCTGATATAAAGGGTCAGCCATTTTGTGATCCCTCACTGTAATTTCTTACCTCGCAGAGTTGTTGCACGCCTGTTGTGAACTAATTGGGCCTGATAAGCTTTTTCTTTGTCTTTCAGGATGGCTGAGCGGTCGGTGGAGGAGCTGCTGGCTGACATTCAGGCGGCTGCAAGGAGCAGGGGGATGGTGTGGCTGCAGGAGCAGCTGGCGGCGGTGATGTCGGTGGCGGAACAAGATGGCAGTGGAGGAGGGCACCCAGCGCGGTTGCGGAGGCAGCCACAGTGCCTTAGCCCAGGGATGGAGACAGGAGAGACCAGCCACGAGGTGTCCCACCCGCGCATGAGGCGGGCATCAGTGGCTCCGCCCCCTCATGTGCAGAGGACTCATGGACCACGAGCCCCATTCTCCCAAGGCAGAGCGGTAGCTGGTCCGGAGGGTGCCAAGCTTGGAAAGCAGGCTCCCGCAGGCGGAAGGCAGGGCCTGGGAGTTCCTGTGGCGGCAGGGCCCTCTGGCGGAGAAAGGGACCCTGGAGGTGTTCTGTCTGGCAGGCAGGAGTGGGTACGCTACTGGGGGCACTGTTGGGGGTGGGAGCAAGCCTTCTAGGGCTTTACCCATGATGCACTTGGATTCCCCAGGGTTGAGGCAGGCAGTAGGCCCCTCAGGTTCGTGGTCGGGATGCCAACGCTTCGGTCTGGTGATCCCTGGGTGGTGAGGGAGGGTGAGTACGGAACAGTGCAATCTGCCTTCTTGTTCCAGGTCCTCCAGTGAGTCCACCCACAAAGGCTTCCGGTTGGAGTGAAGAGTTTGATCTTTTCCCCGTCCGATCCACCGGCCTTTGCAGGTGGAGGGCTTGGTTGATGAGTCTACCAATGCACGTTCACTGGGCTCACTATCCTCTTTATACGTGGATCTGTTCCCAATGGATCGGTTCCCAATCTATCCAGCCGTGTCCTGGTTTCCACGGATCGCTTCACAATCTGGCCAGCTGTGTCTTGGTTTCCATGGATTGGTTCCCAATCTAGGCAGCCGTGTCCTGGTTTCCATTGATCAGTTCACAATCTTGCCAGCTGTATCCTGTTTTCCATTGATCAGTTCACAATCTGTGCAGCCATGTCCTGGTTTCCATGGATCGGTTGACCTGTTTAATTTAGGATTACAGGAAGGCCTGGCCAGGACGTTATGTCTGCAGGATGGCGGAGCTCAGACGGCTTAAGGTTTCAAGGTCTGAGCTTGTGGCGGGGTGGGGTAAGGAATATTAAGGAAAAATGGGCCTTAGTTAATATACAAGTAAGGGGAGTTAGTTGATTGGTTAAAAGGGTACACTGTTCATACAGGTTTTGGTAGGTTTTCGAGTCCGTTGGTGGCTCAGAACCTCAGTGGTGTAGGGGTATCTGGATATACCCCTACCAGGTGAAATTGATCAATGTTGGCATGTTACATTTTATATTCTATGGTTGTTATATATTGGAAAATGCATTATGTTGTGGGTCATTGCCTTGATGTAATGTTGGAGGTGTGGCAGGTAATGAACTTTATATAATTGTAAATCATAAGTTGTTATTATTTTATTACCATTAAAGCTGTCAACATTTTTGACCCATACCCATGAGTGTCGGTGTCTTATTGGGTGGGTTGGTTTTAGGTTCATGTATCCCTCCCCTGCCAATATGGCGACTATGCACCTGTCATGTCCCTGAGGACACTTCTGGTGTCTTTTACTCACACAATCAATCTATCTCTTGGATAGCCACCAGAGACACTTTCTATTGCAGTTCTGCAGTATGTCGTATCCACGCTCTTCGAGATTTCTCATTAATTAAACCCTTGTGTTCCCTCCTACAGCATACAGATCCTTCATTCTGCAGGGCAGCAATTTACATGTCAGAGTGATGTGATTCCATTTAAACAAGCAGCGTTATTAACTAATGTTTAGGATGAATTTCAAGTGAATTTCAAGTTTAAAGTCAAAATAGTTAAAGAGAAAAAAATCTCAAAGAAAGCTATGCTGTCAGTTCAGCCTTGAATTCAAAATTCTTACTTTTTAAAATAACCCTGTATTTGTCAAAACTAGACTTACCTAACCCTAGGACACGGTGAGCATGTAATATGTATCACAACTAATAGGACGCAGTGGGTATGTTGTGTATATATTATTACTAATAGGTTGCGGTAGGCATGTAATATGTATCACAATTAACAGGACGCAGTGGGTATGTTGTGTATATATTATTACTAATAGGTTGCGGTAGGCATGTAATATGTATCACAACTAATAGGACGCAGTGGGTATGTTGTGTATATATTATTACTAATAGGTTGCGGTAGGCATGTAATATGTATCACAATTAACAGGACGCAGTGGGTATGTTGTGTATATATTATTACTAATAGGTTGCGGTAGGCATGTAATATGTATCACAACTAACAGGACGCAGTGGGTATGTAATATGTATCACAACTAACGGGAAGCGGGAAGCATGTAATATGTATCACAACTAATAGGACTATACCCCACTTCCTCTATCTTGTAAACTCCTTCAGCAGGGCCCTCAATCCCTCTGTTCCTGTGTGTCAAACTTGTCTGGTTACAAATACGTGTCTGTTACTCTACCCATTGTACAGAGCTGTGGAATCTGTTGGCGCTTTATAAATAATAATAATAATATGTATATGTAGACAAAAATAGCTGAAGTAAAAGCAGGATTTAATTTTCTAATTCGGCTGTGTTGTCCTCAATTTTCAATACACTTTGAACTTATGAAAATTCTTGCTATAGTGAATAACTGCAAGGTTAACACCTGGATTCCATGGATCAGTTCACAATCTGTCCAGCTGTATCCTGGTTACCATGGATTGATTCCCAATCTGGCCAGCCGTGTCTTGGTTTCCATGGATTGGTTCCCAATCTAGCCAGCTGTGTCTTGGTTTCCATTGATCAGTTCACAATCTGGCCAGCCGTGTCCTGGTTTCCATTGATCGGTTTCCAATCTGGCCAGCTGTGTCCTGGTTTCCATTGATCGGTTTCCAATCTGGCCAGCCGTGTCCTGGTTTCCATTGATCGGTTTCCAATCTAGCCAGCCGTGTCCTGGTTTCCATTGATCGGTTTCCAATCTAGCCAGCCGTGTCCTGGTTTCCATTGATCGGTTTCCAATCTGGCCAGCTGTGTCCTGGTTTCCATTGATCGGTTTCCAATCTAGCCAGCCGTGTCCTGGTTTCCATTGATCGGTTTCCAATCTAGCCAGCCGTGTCCTGGTTTCCATTGATCGGTTTCCAATCTAGCCAGCCGTGTCCTGGTTTCCATGGATTTGTTCCCAATCTAGCCAGCCGTGTCCTGTTTACCTCAGGTTTACAGAGGGACTAACGGCATAATTTGAACCCGTGAGTTATTTATAAAAAGTGTCTGTTCTGGAAAGTGAAGAAAACATAGAAAGTCACAAATGCAATGTGATATAATAAAGAAAGGAAGGGAAGGGGTGATTAGCGCACACAGAATAAAATGAGTGTTGCCTTATATTAAGATAATGTCTCAGGTAATCATACACATTAAATTGTTCTTGTAACCTGTATACATGTAAATACAATATACATAGTGTAACCTGTATATATACAATATAAAAAATGAGGAAAGTTTGAGTCTCACTCACAATTTCCAGAGCCTTTTAAAAGTTGGCTCTAAACTTATAACACTTCTCGTCTCTTCCTTGAGACACAGGTAGCTGGTATAGATGTATCCACAGGAACCTGGAACTGGTGAATTAGCAGCAGACTCCAAAATAAGTAAGGAGTTATTTTTATTGTAACAAGTTATTAAAATAAAAGATGTATATATATACAGAAGATTTTAAAAGCACAACGCGTTTCAACCATACATAGGTCTTTCTCAAGTGCATCTAATTTCACTCTGAGCTCAAAGTTCTTTATATATCAGAGGATAACAATTAGTAAATACAATTATTATCAACATATGTTAAAAAATTCCACCCATTACCATATATGGCCATAGCCGGAAGTGTCACGCCAACCAAAACATGGCCGCACTTCCGGCTATAGACCGGTCCCCCCAGCCCTCCCCAACATGTCCGCTGAGTGTTTCGCGGAATATCACGTTGTCCGTTCAATAAAGTTCTATTGGAAGTGTCACGTCTGCTGGCTCCGCCCATTTTCATTCCGGCGCGTCACTTCCTGTGACGTTGGATTCCCGGTCCGTATAGATCACGTGATCGGCATTCTAAGAGTCCACTTAAGATAGGGCAGAATGCCCTGAGTTCGTCATATTTTGATATAAAAGGAGGGGGGATAATAAAATATACAGAAGACATAGTTAAAAATCACTGAAGAATATTTCATATATATGAAAATAGATATATAAAATTCTAATATACATATTAAAAAACACAGAGGGGTGGATTAAAATAGTATTGAGTTTGTGAAGATATAAAATGAATAGAGCTGAATAAAATAGATAAGAAATTAATAAATAACCTTCAGAACATTATAATTAGAAGTAAAAATATATAGTATAATGCTAAAAGGCACAGATAATAAAATATTTCATAAGATACTATTAATTTCAAAGTCAATATTAAGACCCAAGGGTGATAAAGTGCGCATTTCAAATATCCATTTCACCTCCTGGGTACTTAATTTTCTAGGGATATCTCCTCCTCTCCAATTGGGCTCAATTTTTTCAATCGCACAAAAATTTAAAAACTTTGGATCTGAATCATGTTTATCCAAAAAGTGTTTTGATACACTATGGTTTGCGAATCCTCTTTTAATATTTCTGACATGCTCGCCTATTCGAACTTTCAAAGGTCTTGATCTTTTTCCCACATATTGGAGGCCACATGTACAGCTTAGTAGATATATGACATTATTTGAATGACAAGTGATCATAGATTTAATTTTAAACTCTTTTTTAGTACTAAACGAGTTGAAAATTGCTATATTTTTTTCTTTTATGTCTGTATTCTTACATGCATTGCACATCCCACAGTGATAAAAGCCTTGTTGTGTTTTTGCCCAACTGGTTAAAAAATTGTCATTTGAGGATGTTTTCTCTAAAATGCTGCTAGTTAAAATTTGTTTAAAATTTTTTGCACCTCTAAAAATAAATTTGGGCTTAGGGCCTAAAAATTTCTGCACTTCTTCATCCTGTTTTAGAATATCCCAATTTTTGTTTATAATTTTTTAATAACACCTATGTTACTTGAATAATTAAGGATAAAAGGAATCTGTTTTGTTTGTATATCCATTTCAGATTTTTCTTTCTTTTTATATTATATTATCCCTGGAAAGATCTCCTCTTTTGAAATATAAAAAGACACACACAAATATATATATATATATATAAATATATATGCAAACACATAAACACATATACATACGGTGACAAAACGAATGGATCTCACGAACAAACGCTACCATTTAGCCTTTTCAACCGTTTTTCTAACTCCCGAACCTGACCAACCGCTACCTCTGAAACTGTGGAACTATTTTGGGCAGACGCCTCAAGAGCGCTTGGTCAGATCTTCATCCCGGTGGCTATTCGGCTGTGCTCGAGGGATCTGAGTGCTTTTTGGATATATTGGGCGCTCAGATCCAGGCTATCCAGGGATGTATAGACTATGGGGGTTCATTTATGCAAATTATGTGTTTTAAAGCATTTTGGGGGTTTTGTAAGAGTAGATGTTTTCTGTACCTGGAGATAATTGAGTTTAATAAAGTACTTAACTCACTTATCTCCCAGGTACAGAGGAGGAATTATCCTATTTAATGTGGGAGTGTCCTGGACCTGAGAGCCTATGTCATTGTGTGATTGTTTGTAATGCAGTCTTCTCTAAGGTACAGCGGGAGTGCCCCTTGCATGGGGACTTGCATATAAGGCCAGTTGTGGCTACCATTAAACAGATTCGGTTTACCCATTCATGAAGCCTTGGCTCATGTTTGGGGGATTGGGAGCTATATTCACTATAATACCTTCTATGCTTGGATTTTGGGAGATTCTTCACGGATATACTCAGCCAGAGTATAGGGAATTCGTTACACATACATGCACATGGACTCATACACAAATATAAATACACAGTCACATATATAAGCATACATGCATGCGAGTATGGGAAAGCATTGGTCTACACACAGTACTCCAAACTAACATGGAAAAAGGAGACCTGTTTTCCTTGATTTTGCTAAGGCCTTTGACACAGTAGACCACGACATTCTACTGCACAAATTCAAAAACTCAGGTATTGGTGATCGTTCGCTAACCTGGTTTCAATCGTATGTATCGGATCGCTCGCAATATGTGTCCATTTCTGACAGTGACTCCCTCCCTCTCCAAGTCACGTGTGGTGTTCCCCAAGGTTAAATTCTTGGCCCCCTACTATTAACAATATTCATAAAGGATCTGCCAATGTCTGCAAATCCTCAAATGTACACAAGGCTGCAGCTCCTGCTTCTAGGGGCCGGTGAAGGAGACCGGAACTTGGCATGAGCAGTGGCGGGGTGGGACGTGCAGAGTATCTATGGGTGCCCACGGGGAGGGGAACCAGGGCTTGTGAGACCTCAACCTCCCCAGGAGGGCTAAAACATTCCGGGAGCTGAACTCCCCGCTGGGAAACCCTGCAACTGCCATGAGGGGAGGCGGCAATCACCACGGAGGCCTGCATACAAGCCAGCTGAGCCTGCAGGTACAGACCCCCATCTTGTAAGAGCATAAAGGACAGCCTTGAAGTCTATACTTAGGCCCTGGCTGAAAACAGCACTTGGCAAGGAGGTACAAGCAAGACAAGCAGATACCAACGCAACTACCAAACTGTTACTAACTAATAATTAAGATGGCTACAAAATTCCCTCCTATTTATACTATCACACCCTTCAGCCCTAAACCTCCACCAACCATTCTTAAGACCACCTTACTATTTCCTTCTATACACTCCCCTCACTCTCACATGTCCGTGTTCTGTCTAGGTCTTGCCTGACTCCTCAGGTTCTTGAATCGCCTACAGTTGGTTAAGTGGTACTCAAAATACATTTTAATTAGAAGACAAGGTAATCAGCACAAAACATAAACAAATAAATCCTAAAGTGGAAACACATTCGTCTAAAGAACGGCACTTAGAAGTCCAAGTGAAAATGTAAACTGTAGATTAGGGTTATTCCCAATGTGAATAGTATTTAATCAGTAGAATTATTCTATTGCTTAAACCTGTTCCACATTAGAATCACGTTACAATTATTGCATGCAGTGGAGTCCGAGCTCTTTGTAACTAGTTAATTGGACATATTCGCATTCTGCATCTATTTCACATGTACACCAGGTTCCTGTATTATGGAATCTAAACTGTAAAAAAGAAATTTAATTGACTGTCACTCAAACATACTTTAGTGACATAGAGACCTAAATTGGACTATGGAGGACAAAATGACCTGACACTAAATGCACCTGGGCACACCTGCCAAACCGCTTGCACACACCCTTGGCCTAGTGGCCTAGTAGGTTAAGAGTGGATCTGTGCGGTCAATATAACACATTCTCCATTTCTGACAGACGGCTCAGGGCTACGGCAGCGTTGTCTGATAGATGGGGATTTGTGCGAGTGATCCGGGCTGCTGAGTGCGGGTTATAACCTGCTCTACCTTAATAGAAAAGTCTGGATATTAGTCATCAAACTAAATAAAATGTACAAATAATGGGTTTAGTGTGAATTGAGGGCTTAACCTTATTAACCCCTACAGGATGGAGTCAATAGTACACGTTCTGATCAAAACAAAATGTAAACAAAACCTGGTATTTGCGCTATATGTCTGTTCAACCGTAATTCACCTCTTTCATATTAAATGCACCCACACTTATTATATACCATTTTATTCAGGAGAAACTGGGCTTTAATTTCTCATGAACTATTCATATTTTAAACATAATGTATTATGAATAACATTTTTAAAAACTGTGAGAAATTAAGACTTTTTAAAAAATATGTAGACATTTTAGCTGTAAATGTCATAATAACGTTCGATTTAACTGCACAAAAAACACAAATCTGAATTCAGCAAAGTCGCACGAGTATAATAGTATACCCCATTAACAGTTTTTACGGAGTTTTGGAAAGTTACAGGGTCAAATGTAGCACATTCCTTTTTTCAGTTTTTTCAAATTGAAATTCACCAGATTAGTAATGTTACCTTTGAGACCGTGTGGTAGCTCAGGAATGAGATTTACCCCCATGATGGCATACATTTGCAAAAGTAGACAACC